ATACTTGGTTTCTGCTAGAACAGGAATCAGGAAAGACGGAAGAGAGCGGCACAGGAAAAAGAGTCGTTGAATAGAACTAGTAATCCTTTCACGACTGCTGATTCTTCTACAATTAACATCGCAGGTTGCGAGCTTTAATTTCTTCCGCGCAGAGGGACTCCACGCACTATTTTTTTTTTTTTTTTTTACATAGAGANACCGTTTTTTTTTTTTTTTTTTACATAATTGGATGCTTTTTAAAATCTAATCGAAGTGTTTAAAAATATAAAATAATTGCTGGCTACACACAATTTTTATGTAAATAAAAAGTAAGGTATTAATTTCTTATTCCTTATACTATTTTTAATACTATTTCTAAATGAATTTGGTATGCTTAGTTTAATTGCATTGTTGCATAAAAATAATTTATCTGTAATATTAATATTTAAAATAAGTGTAGAAGTCAAAGTGTGAAAAAATAGCCTTATTTCCATGATTGGATTTGACATTCAATGCTAAGGGCCATTTTCAGTATATATGTCTAAATAAATAGTGCGAAAGTTTTAGAACACAAAATAACTCACGGAGAAAAAATTACGACACTTCTCGCAAAAAAAGAGGAAAAGAAAAAAAACAATTTTGGTAACAAGACCAAAATATATGGTATTTAAATCATTCATTTGGTAATTTTTCTGTTCACTATGCAGCAGTTTATCGAAAATTCAAGTTTTTAAAATTATCGCTCTTATTACCACAAAATGCAAAAGTCAAAAATAAAATGAACCGAATTAGTGATTATCATGCCATACTCAAAGGCAGCGGTTCCCAATTATTATTTAGGCTTCCCTCTACGGAATTCCGATATTACGATTAAAGTTTATTAAGGTAATTGTGAACGTTATAACCAAAAAAAAAAAGACTATTTTAAAAATATTTAATTAGAGGAATGAAGAATTTTCATTGTTTTATCATTAACAATCTAAAATAAGGTTTTATAGCCGATAGTTAAATTTGCAATCCTTGTGCTATATCTAGTCAATTTTGAATTTATTTTTGGTGTATATACAAAAGCTGAAAATGAATAAGGTAAGCCGAATTATAGTTTATTTCTAAATGTTATAAAAGTATTCATCCCCGGTTGTAAAATGTACTAATTCGCTCTAAAATCATTAAGTTCCATAGAAGACAGTTTGGAACTACTTTCCTAAGGTATCATGATAAAATTAAAAAATTTAACACATTTACTACCTAACAGCATGGCAAAAAACTATATTTTTATTATGTTAATTTCATGAGAAATCATAACCAGATCAATATTGAAAAAAACTATCCTGTATTTTGTTGTTCCCATAAATACCGAAAATTTTACTATATTCTAATAGTTTTGACCATACTTTTTTTTTATCAGTGTGCTCAGTACTATGATTCACAATTCATAAAAGGTACTGTATTGTCGCATGCAAACAGATATTTTTTCTCAAAATTTAGGAGAGCCTTCTATTTTGACTCCTCAAATTTTTTTAAGAAAATTATTTTTTCGCAAAATTGAAGGGGAAAAAAACACGAGTCAAAAAGTTTCACATCAAGAACATATCCGGACATTTTCGACAAAATCAAGAATGTCAAGTATCCAAATGACTTAATCTATAAATTTTTTAAAAAAAAATTATAAAAAAAATTCGCAAAGCAGGTGTGCACAATTGGGGCTGAAGATTATGAAATCTAACACGAAACTGTGAGATCGTGGCTTCTATTCCAGCTGATGACAGTTTTTTATTTTTATTTCTTTATACTGAAAAATGTTTTTCTTATTTTTTTTAAAGTATGCATGTAAAACTAATAATTTAACAATTATTTAAAAAACTAGAAGGCTCCGCCCCTCGTTCACTTTGCTCACTAACCCTCGTGGTTGCTTTTCATTAATCATTGCAGATATGAGGAAAAACGGCTATTTCCATTTTTTATACAAAAATTACGATTGCCATTTACATTTTAAAGATGACTAAATTCAAGCAAATCAATAAAATTGGAAAATTGGTACCCCCGCAAAGTTATCACTCAGTGAAGATGAACTCGAGGGATAGAGCATTTGCCTTCGAATGAGGTGAACCGAGTTCGAATGCCAGTGATGGCTGCTGGTCGATATGAATTCTACTTCCGGCTTGCACCGACCACAGTGCTGATGTAAAATATACTCAGTGGTAGACGGATCATGGGTTAGATCCCCCTTGCTGTCAGACTAACCGACGGAGGCTTTCGTGGTTTTCCTCTCCATGTAACTCAAATGTGGGTTGGTTCCATCAAAACGTACTCCACGAAGGCAAAAATTTCATCAAATACTCGATCCTGGAGTTCTCTTGTTTGCTGGATTGGGGTAAAAATTACAAGGCTACGGAGTTGAACATTAGTAGTCGAAACTGGAAATTGGATGGGCTTTTCAATGACTGTTATAAAATAAACGAATAATTTGGCTGTAATAGCCTGGTTGAGGACTATGGACTCGTGTGCATGAGAATGGGAGTTCGAATCCAGCTGGCCGAAGAATACCCATGTATAAAATGGTGACTGGTGCATGCTAAATCTGTCTGGGTCACAAAGTTCACTAAGTTCTCATAACAAATCAATACCTCTGGGTACTGATCCAGAAGCTCCCTGCTCTTTTGCATTGAGTTCAAAATTACAAGGCTACGTAGTTAAACATGGGTAGTTGTAAACTCAAAATTGAGTCAGTGTTTCAACGGTGGTCATAAAAAGAATAAAACTAATAATCAAATTATACTTTCATGTATTTCTTTCTAACTCCTAGCATATTTTCTACCACCCCTTCATAATTTCATGTTTCTAAGTCTATGGATTTTGAGCAGCAAAACAAAATGTAACGTAAAGAAATTTTTTTAATAATTTAATGTTAATACTCAACAATAAAAAATGACAGTTTTCCTCAGGTGTATATAAATAGAATTGAACTTATAAGGGCCCCATCTTTTTCAGTAGTTTGGGGCCTCGCCGAACTTAAATCCGGCCCTGATTAACCCTATTTCTGAAAACCGAAACTTAAGTATAAAATTGCCCTTAATCGGAATGACGTCTGGTTTTAAAACTTTAATTAACAAACCAGTAACAAACAAATAAATAGAAGAGAACCGTGTCCGCTCTTGAAATTGAGACAACCCTTAATGCGCGCCAAACACAAACAGCGATTTTTTTTTTTTTTCAGTCACTAACATGGCCTTATTATCTGCTAATATGCCTTTCGTTTTTCCAGCTAATTAAATATATTTTAAATTTAAAAACTGCTGTATTCCGAGTTAAAAAGAACTAACTATTTACTTAATAGTAACAAATATTATAAAAAATGGCGCGAAATGACATCAAATTTATGAAATATTTAATGTTAAAAAAATACGCTTAAAGTTTGCGAAATTAACATTTTTGCCTTACTGTCGCCAAATAGCAGCCTTAATCAGGATTGCTCACAACCTAATAATCAAAAATAAGCAAAAATCGTCGCATACCACGTGATGAAGGCGGAGTCAATTGACAACTCCTTGTCTAAGCGAATCAGTGAATTGCGAAATCGTCATTATTTGACGTTTTTGACCACGCCTCATCCGGAAACTCCCTGCAGGCACTCGCAGGGAACTCGCCAAATTTTGGCGTCAATCACGTTATGAAAACTCTCTCCGTAAACGTAATGAAATATTCTTATTTAGTAGCTATTTAAAAAATTGGACATTTTTTCATCATATTTTGTGTGAAAATAATCTCTTACATAAAATCTTAATATGGCGGTGTTTATAGCAAATTGTTCTGTGATATAAATCTAATTTTGTTCTAATTATAAATAACACATTATTTATGCAGTATGTGCGATAAAACATTCTCACAGATCGATAACTTAAAGGAACATTCGTCTATTCATACTGGAACTAGACCTTATTCATGCGATGTATGTGGTAAAACATTCGCAGAAAAAGGAACTTTAAATCGACACTACTCTATTCATACTAGAGAGCAATCTTTTTCCTGCAATGTGTGTGATAAATCTTTCCCTCATATAAGATATTTAAAGCAACATTCTCTCACTCATTCTGCAAAAAGACCTTTTATATGCAGTATTTGTAATAAGACATTCTCACAGATAGGTCACTTTAAGAATCACTTACCTATTCATTCAGGAGACAAACCATATTCATGCAGTGTGTGTGATAAATCCTTCACATATAAGACAAACTTAAATCAACACTATCTTGTTCATACTGGAGAAAAACCTTACTCATGCAGTGTGTGTGATAAAACATTCAGACAGAAGAATCACTTAAATAAACACTATCTTATTCATACTGGAGAGAAACCTTACCCGTGCAGCGAGTGTGATAAATCATTTAGTCGTAGACGTCACTTAATTGATCACTTTCTTATTCATACTGGCGAGAAACCTTATTCATGCAGGGTGTGTGGTAAAGCATTCACTCGGAAAGCTACTTTAATTGGACACTCTCTTATTCATACTGGAGAGAAACCTTATTCATGCAATCTGTGTGATAAGAAATTCATACGGAAAGGTACCTTAATTGAACACTCTCTTATTCATACTAGAAAGAAATCTTTTTCATGCAACATGTGTGATAAATCTTTCACGATTGAAACTGAACTAAATCAACACTATCTTATTCACGCTGAAGAAAAACCTTAAGTATTTGTGATCTTATGTTCACATTTAAAAAAAAACTAACACAATCTGTGTGTAAAACATTCACACAAAAGTGTCACTTAATTGTATAATCTCTTGTTCATACTAGAGAGAGACCTAATTCTTGCAGTGTGTGTGATAAAACATTACGGAAAGTATCTTTGTTAAACGTTCTCTTGTTTTATAGTGGCGAGAAATCTTTTTCATGCTGTGTGTATCATAAAACATTCACAACAAAGGTGTTTTAACACTCATTTCCACTGCGGTAATGGCGCTCTTTTGCCTCACCCTTTGCAGGATTGGTTTTTTTTCCTGTATAAATCATGGGAAAAAATGGAAAAAACCTTGTAAATACTATTAACCCATGTTTATTTATTTACAGATATAATGATTTATTGTATTTATAACTGATTGGAATATATATTTCCATATTCTAGCAAATATTAATAATTATAATATGATATACATATATATATACACTACACTACAATAATGAAAAAGACACTTGGAGTTATTGACATTTTTATAAATAAATTTCTAAGGAAATACTTAAAGAATTATTTTATACATTTAAAGTTCATGCTATTTTTCATTCTTGAGAGTAAGATTTACAGCTTTAAGAGGTTTGAAAGACCGACAAATTACAAAAAAAAAGCAAGTATTTTTGAACACCCCATTCCAGAAAATTGAGCAATAAGCTTGTAAATTGTATCAATTACTTTAGATATTAGTTGAAATAAGTGCATAATTTTTAGTAAACATAGAGTAAATATTATTGGAGATATGGATATTTTTATAAAAACTAATTTTTTTGCTTTAACTTTATAAATATTCAATACTATTTGAATTCTAGTTACAAGCTTGTAACTTGATTTTCTGGTATAGGGTGTTCAAGCATACTTGTTTCCTTTCGTAATTTATTGTCTGTCTCCCAAACACCTGAAAGCTGTAAAATTTAAAACTTGTTGCTAAGTATTAAAAATCGCATGAACTAAACATCTCTAAAGTTATAAAAAAAATCCTTTAAGTATTTCTTGAGAAATTTTTTAAAAAAATGTCAAAAGCTCAGTGTCTTTTCCATTATTGTAGGGTGGGGTATAACAGCAAATAACAAACCATTGGATAAGTGATATGATGTAAGCTATCACCTAAATTGTAATTATAAAACTAATTTTTCACATAACCAGTTTAGGTAGATATTCTTACTATTGAAAACTTAATCTGATAAATGTATTAGATTTTAAATATGAGCTAATAACCATTAATTAAATATTAAAAAATCATAGTTATAAATTATGTTATTGTATATCATAACTTCATTACAGCTGTATTTTTATATACAAAAAGTAACTGAATAACCAGAAAGCTCAAATAAGAATTATGGAATTTTGTAAAAAGAATAATTAAATAATTTTAATAATAATATTTTTTTTTTACTAAGGAATAATGGGAACATTAAAAAATATGTAGTGGCAATAAGTATATAGTAAAATAAGGATTTATCTTACCAATCTTTTGTCATTTATTTTTATAAAATTTGATTAGGAAAAAAAAAATTATTTTACTTCTTTCACTTATTTTTAAGATCAAAATTTTCCAAAACAATTATTTGTTCAAATGAATTATAAGTTTAAAATTATAACATTTTATGTAATAAGTTTTCAAAAATCAGAAGAACAAGAAAAATGAATATTGATAAATACATTAGAAATTAAGATAAAAATGTTATTATTAAATCAGAAGACCAGACCACTGATAATATTTAAATGCACAAGTGTTTTATTTTGGCCAAAAGTTAGGTTAATTTAAAATTCAATGTATGACAGACATTAAAAAAATTTATATGGCAATAACTGGCCTTGTTGTAGTTCAAATAGTAAATCAGAAGAAAATAATACTTAAATAAAAAACTAAAAACTGGACTACTCAATGAAGCCAATTTAAGAACAGAATTTTTTTTTAAAAGGACAGAGCAAGAAGAAAAATTATCTTTGTTATAATATACAAAATTAAACATTTATCTGAAAAGTTATAATTTATAGTCTGCTTGAGAAAAAAAGAAAAAAAAATTCAGCTTTATCAAAACTAATAAAATAAATTTATTCCAAAAATTTAATAAACTTTTTTTTACTTCAGAATGGCCTTATTCTATAAAAAAAAAAATTATTAGTTCCAATCATATTTTAACTTTTAGAGTATTGAAAAACTCACATTATTATATGGTCACCAAACTTAAAATTTTCTTTACTTAACTTGATAGGAATTAATACTTAATGTGGAGAAGAGTAGTTATCGACCACGTCAACCGTCATCTATGAAAGGTACCCTAACCTTAAATCCAGTTGACATTGGAAATGTATTTTTGTAACGGTAGTACCACACCAGAATTATAGCTGTGATAGAATTCGATGAATGGATACCACTAGTTGATACATTGTTGTTTTTTTGTGAGAAGCCGGGAGAGCTGTGTTAAAATCACCGTACTTTTGAGTGCTGATTGTGAGATTATTAAGTTCATGGTCGCTCCTGTGTTGCCTTTAGTAGTAGAGTGTATACGTGGAACAGTGTGGGGAGGTCAATGTTGCTGTCACAAGTAGCAAGTCAACTGTTCAATGTGTGGATCATCCATCGAAGTAGGCTTGTTCAAATTGTAGGCGTTTCTGCCAAGGTAGGTGTGTTCATATCACATCCAAAGGTCATCGATGTGGGGAGTGAGTACTTATCGACCATGTCAACCGTCATCTATAAAAAAGGTACCTCACCATAGATTCGAGTTAACATGTGTTATATACTAGTTAATTGGAATTTTAGTTTTGTAGTGGTAGATACACTACATTTTAAATAATTTAACTTAAAATAGTTTCAACATCTGCATATTTAAGAATAAATTTGCAGTAGAAATTACCAAAGCAAAATGCATTTAACTTTCATTATTTTAGATCATAACATAGGTACTAATTTTGCGTAAATATTATTTGTTAATAATTTTTAAGAATTAAATTTATTGCTTCAAATATAATACTTGATTGGATGATAAAAAAATAACAAGAAGTCATATAAGCAATTAGACATATTTAATGCTAAATTTTACTGTTTTTTGCTAGTAGGTACTGTCTTCTTTTGCACTCACTACACTTCACCTAGCATTAAAACTCAAACAAGTTAATAAATAACTAATTGCAGAAACACAAGTTTTTGCGAGATGCAAGGAAAAAAGTTAAACGAAGTGCAATTGCTTTTGACTTTACTGATAACACTAAATGTTGATATCAATAGTTAGCTATACGATCGAAAATAGACTGCATATTAGATTGTGATCAACAAAGTAATGGTGCATTCTTTTGAAGTAAGCAGCAGAGCTATTGTTCTTTTAGAAATTAAGACAACTTAGCTGGTGGTTGCCTACATATGTTTGCAAAATAAACCTTTTGTTTTAAGATTGTAAGAAAAAAACAAAATGTTTGCTTTTCACTTTTTTATTGATAACAAATATTTTAAAAAAATTGTCTCTCATTTATCTTTTTTATTTGAGTAATATTGCTCACTTAAACATGAAAAAAAATTGTAGAAAGCTGGTAATTTTTAACTTGTTACAAACATGCAGTTTTTGTACATTTAATATTAGCATTTTGCGTTGGATCTCATAATATGCTGTATTATAACAGAAAAAAAGGACAAATCAGGATAAAATATTTTTTATTAAGAACACTAAGAAATTTTAGACCTTAGCAAAGATTTTTAGAACATTAGTTCTTAAAATGATCATATATTGTTCTTCAATGTTTAGTAGGACACTATTTTAACAATGTTCCTAATTCTTATTTCAATACTGCCTTAATAAATGCTAAATGTTTTCAGAAATATTAGAGAAAAAATAATAAATTTTTCTGAAGATGGCAAAGAATTTTTATAGTTGGTAAAACCCATGGGAAAACAAGTTTTTCTCAAGACTGTAAAAACCATGGTAAATACCAGTAAAAATCTTACATTGCTTAACAAAAGAAGCTAGCACTGCTGAAGGTGTAATATTAAAGACCTTAAGTAGATAAAGAAGGATCACTACTAGTGAAAAAATGTAAAGATATACATTATTCTTTAGATAATGTATATATATCTTTATATAATAGTGAGGTTAAAAATTTATAAATTTGGTGAACCATATAACACCTCACATTTGGGAATTAATTTCCTTTGTAAGTAATAGAAAAAAACAGCTTTAGATTGAGCTGCATTAGCCTGAAGTGTAAAATGTCGGATCTTAGGTTGATAAATTAATACTTCAAAAAATACAAAAGAATATACTTGAGGTTACGAAATAATAACCTAAGATAGAACACCTCATGTTAATAAAAATTAACCTTTCCACGTGAAAAAATACACTTGAGGTTGATTTATGATAGCCAGAAGTGTAAAATAAAACTCTTTGCAAATAAATACCACAACTATATAAATCTATACCTAAGGTTAAAAAATAATAACCTAAAGTAGAACATCAAACACCTCACATTAATGAAAAACAACCTATCCAAGGGTGGAAAAATATACCTGTGGTAGATTTATGATAAACTGAAGTGATACCATATGTTGATAAATAAATACCTCAGAGGCATAAAATTAGATACTTGAGGTTAAAAAATAATTACCTGAGGTAGAATATGATACCTCACGTTAGTTAAAAATTATCTGAGGTAGACTTATAGTAAGGTTGAAAATGAAACACCTTTTAGTAGTAAATATCTACCTCTCTTCTAATATAAATATCTATCTCTAATGAAACACCTCAGGTTGATGCCTCCAGAGGTATATCTGAGGTATTCATTTGCACCCTTTTCAACCTAACGACCAGATTACAGAAGTCAAGCATCACTGGCTGCGATCAGTGTGCGACTTGGATTAGACTGCATAGGGACCGAGGGTGTGCGGTATAGGTCCTCGTTAAATTGTTCTACCACAAAGTGCTCGACCCCCTCTGCAAAGGATCAAATTTGTGATGGTCTTCGGATCATCTTCAGGAATGCTTCCCAGACCGTCGACAATAGCCCATTGTGCAGTTCTAGTGCGACGTAAATGAACTACAACAACGATTTCTCTCTACGACGATTGGAGCTGCATGATCGCATACACTATTATATACAAGGTATATTCCCAAATTTTCGATACATTTTCCAGTTTTTTCCAAATTGTGATTGCATGTGTTCGGATCATCCTCCGGGATGTTTCCCAGACCGTCGCCAATAGCCCANAAACACCTCAGGTTTATACCTCCAGAGGTATTCATTTGCACCCTTTTCAACCTAACGACCAGATTACCAAAGTCAAGCATCACTGGCTGCGGTCAGTGTGCGATTTGGATTAGACTGCATAGGGACCGAGGGTGTGCGGTATAGATCCTCGTTAAATTGTTCTACCACAAAGTGCTCGACCCCCTCTGCAAAGGATCAAATTTGAGATGGTCTTCGGATCATCTTCAGGAATGCTTCCCAGATTGTCGACAATAGCCCATTGTGCAGTTCTAGTGCGACGTAAATGAACTACAACAACCATTTCTCTCGACGACGATTGGAGCTGCATGATCGCATACACATACAAGGTATATTCCCAAATTTTCGATACATTTTCCAGTTTTTTCGATAAACGTCATACATGCGAGGTTTGAGATGCGAACTAAAATGTAATTTCGGAAATGTTTTTATTTGTGAATCTGTATCAATATGGTCCCGCAGTGGACTGATGGTTAAGACACGGTTCCCATCAGATCACCGAAGTCAAGCATCACTGGCTGCGCTCAGTGTGCGGGTGGGTGACCACTTGGATCAGTCTGCGTAAGGATCGAGGGTGCGCGGTATTGGTCCTCGTTAAACTGTGCTACCGTAAAGTGCTCGATTCGCGCGAAGGTCATCGGGCTACCAAAGCGGGGGTGCCATCCCCTCTGCAGACGATCAAAATTGTGATGGCATGTCTTCGGATCATCCTCAGGGATGTTTCCCAGACCGTCGCCAATAGCCCATTGTGCAGCTCTAGTGCGACGTAAATGAACTACAAAAACTGTATCAATATGAAAATCTGGTTGTAGTTCATTTACGTCGTACTAGAACTGCACTATGGGCTATTGGCGACGGTCTGAGAGACATCTCTGAAGAAGATCCGAAGACACAATTTTGATTGAAGATCACAATTTTGATTCTCTGCAAAGTGGGATGGCACCCCTCACTTCGGTAGTCGGATGACCATCTCTCGCAGTCTAGCACTTTACTATAGAATAGTTAAACGAGGACCAGTACCTCACACCCTTCGTCCCTACGCAGACTAATCCAAGTGGTCACCCACCCGCACACTGACCGCAACCAGTGATGCTTGACTTCGGTGATCTGATGGGAACCGTGTTTTAACGATCAGTCCGTTATAGCCCATTGTGCAGCTCTAGTGCGACGTAAATGAACTACAGCAACTGATTAGGAACCGAGTTTTAACGATCAATCCAGTGCGAAATCTGGTAAAACCTGCGTTTGCGTTATTCCGTATTTCCAAGAAAAATGTTCCTTAAAGAAAATATGGATTAAATAAGATCGAATGAAACGAAGAACAAGTGTAATTTAAAATTCGGTCGCACAAGAATAGGCAGTTCGAATCGTACTCTCTAGCGCAAAATAAACAGTAAGATGTGATGATGCAAGTTTCTTGTGCGTTTATTTCATATTTATTTACCAGAGATCTTTAATTGACTGTATTATATAATTATAGCAGAACAATGAATTCTGTCAGTAGACCTGTATCAGAGATACTCAAGAATAAAGATATCGATGAGCCTAAAAAACGAAGTAGAGAAGATTGGCGTAAAGCAAAAGAGTTAGAAGAAGCCAGAAAAGCTGGTAATGCTCCTGCTGCTGTGGATGAAGATGGAAAGTAAGTGCAATTTCAATTAAATATGCATCGAGTTGAATTTTTGAGTGTTATACATAATCTCCTGAAAAGTTTACTACTTGCTTCTGCTCAGAATCTAGTTGAAGAGTTTCTTCAAATAGGTCAATCAAATGTTTCCTTTTTTTTAAGTGCCCGAACCTTGTATTTTATATATTGCCTTGAATAGACTTAGATAAAATTCAAACCTTTCTGTGAACGATATAGAAGGATATTTCCATATCGTGATCTTGGCCAATGGCCAAGGTCCTAAATGGATTTTGATATGGATGGTGCTAATGGATTTCTTTTAAAAGGAAAATTTAAAAGAAGAAAAAAGTGAAATATGTTGAGGTTTTCCTGTGAATTTCTGCGAATTATACTTTCTTGAGTTGATCTTCTTCGGGGATCTTTTTTTAATTTCTCCCTCACCACTGTTCAGGGTTGGCAGGTTTTTGACATGTGACAGTTTTTGACAGTTTAAACCATGGTTTAAACCATATGAATTCAAATGCGTCATGTCAAAAACCTCATTGTCAAAAATGTCGAAAATGTCAAAAACCTATATTCATATGTGAAATTTAATTAATACATAAAATTTATATATTTTTTAAAGGATAGTGTTTCTAAATATGTTCTAGAAAAAATAAATNTTTTTTTAATTTCTCCCTGACCACTGTTGCTAGAAGTTCCTATGACTTGACAATTATTTTGGCGTAGATCAGAATATGGAAATCCTCCAACAATCTTAATTAAAAAGCAGTTTGCAGACTCTTTTAACTAGTTACGAGTTACAACACTCCCCCCCCCCATTTCCATACTGTTGTTTTCATTGTAGTTTCGATAATTTTTTTCATTAAATTCTTCACATCAAAAGAATTATTGTAATTGTAGAGTTTTTAAAAAAGGTGAACTACCAATTGCACATGGTTTAGCTAGACTATGGTTCAACAAGATGTAATTCTGTAATACTTTAAATAATTCTTTCTACTTTAATAAGTTAAAACAATTCATAGTGTACTGTCCAATTTTTTTTTTTTTTTTTTTAGATTTTTATTATTTCTGATATTTAATAATGTTTTCTCCTGCTAAATCCGAAAAAAAGTGTGCAAATTTAACAATCAAAACATTTCACTTCACTCTTGAAATCTGCAATCTTGTTTTATGCAGGCTCTACTTTATTATGAAAAACTCCACACTTCTGAGCTAAGTTTTCTAAAGACGTATGTTTCATGCATCAAATTTGAGTTTGAAACCTTAAAAAGTTTACAGAGACTGAAAATGCTCCTTGTAAAAGTTTTATTTAAAATGTTATTTTTTTCTTTCTTCTTCTCGCTATTAAATAAAGAAAATTAGTCAATCTATGTAACTACATCGTCATTATCACTCTGCCAAAACAGAGTGATAATAACTTCTTTCATACATTCTGAGATTAGGAAATTAATGCCAATTGCACTAACATTGCCAAATAATAACAGTTCGTCTTAGAAGAGTTTTTCACAAATTATAACAAAATAAAGTCTTTAAAGACCGTTTTGAAGCTATAACCTTTTTATGCCACTAATGAAGGTGTCAATTGTGTTATGAATTTCAAACATGCTATTGACTAGAGAAATAAAAAACGTATATAAAAATTTAAATTCCTTTTATTTTAAAAACCTTAATTTAAATGGAGAAAAAAACTGAAATCAATGAGAAATAATGTTTTATCACTAAACATTGAAGGGTAAAATATACTTGAGGGTGCCCCTTGGTGAAATTGGCGACTTATCCATTAGGCTCCATTCCTGTTTACGCGGAACACTGTGGTAACAGTAATGGCAGCCAAAACATAATGATATTTCAATAAAACATTGGAAAATTTCACCAAAACATCGGCCAAAACATTATAAAATTGTAATGAACCCAATATAAGTAAAATTAATAAACCCAATAAAATGCATTTTGAATCGAAACAAAGATTAATGGAGTAAGCACAGAAAGAAAAGGAAAGAAACAACTCACTTCTTCATTAAGCTTGAATATCCTCAGATTTGGGTGCACAGAATTCTCTAATAGAGGTTAGATGCTGTCTAAATTTATCATGAATAGAATCTGTGTACCTCCATCGCCACTTAAATTCGGCGAAATATAAATTGGAAATGGCGTCTGTGGTATCGGACTGGCTGTGACATTTTTTCTAAAGTCCCTTTTTATAACTGCCCATATACCTTTGATCTTATTGACCAGGGTTGGCAAGGTTTAGGACTGAATGGATTAATCCACGGTTTAAACCGACCTGTCTTAAACCCCTTTGTCCAAAACTGTCTTAAACTGTCCAAAACCCTTTTACTCAAATTATGTCACAATTTTATCTGAACAATATTTAAAAGGTAAAATAAACATAGAACTAATAACATATTGATAATTAAATCTGCTGGAGAATATTTGTTTTTAAAAGTATAATGTTTTATTAATATTGTTTGACTCTTCAATTTAAACATTAAACAAAAGAAAATTAATCAGTAATCAAGTTCAATTGGTCCTCTCATTCAATAGTACATAACTGAAATTGGACATTGCCATACAGGTTAAGCTATTAGGGACTAAGTGCTTGGTTGGTCATAAACAGGTTTATTTATCTATAGTACTATCCAAGAATACTTTTATTTCATTCATGTTCGATTCTTTTAACATAGTGGTGATACATCACCAGTGTCAGTAACTGAAACTGATGTTATGCTCTTCAAAACTGTTAATACATTTTTTAGTTATTTTGTATTTCCAATTTAAACTAATATATTTATGTTTAAAAACAATTTTTTTTTAAATAGATGTCTTTTTTATCATCCTTTAATGCAGAAATTATAACATTTTTAAACAAATTAAGTAGTAAATTGTATAAAAAATATCAAATATTTATTGATACATGTAATTATTATGTGTACTATGGTTACACCTATAGAATTTTTACCTTTTACCAAAGTTTAAAGTTTTGAATACTTTAAGACAGTTTTATCCAGTTTAAGACAGTAAAGATATCCAGTTTAGACAGTGTGTCCTGTCCAAAACCAGTTTAGGACATCCAAAACCCCAACCCTGTCCTTGACCAAAAGCAAAAGTATTCTTTTCAGCCGGTATCTAAGATAAAACTAACGGGCCTCTGAAATTACTTGTACCGTTGAACATATAAAAATAACGCTAAAATCTAAGCCAATCAGAATTACAATTGGGTTTCAACATTGCCCAGCTTGGGGATGAGCCGCTATCACAACTTGGCGAGAATCAAGGGGCGCCGTCAAATATAGTCTACCCCATCGAAGTCATAATTCTGGTCTATTTTCTTTGTATAATTTATTTGTTAGCTACATAATATAATCTGTAATTTATAAATGTGGTATTTGTTTTGAAATCCACACTTCTATTTAAAAATTCCATCCTCAAAAATTAATATCAGAATGAAATTTCTCTCCAAAGCTTTTCTTTAATATGACATTGCTCCTGAGTATTCACTTTTTTAAAACTTCTTTTTAAGCAGTCATTGATAATTGTAACCTTTTTTGATGTTTGTCATGTCAAATATTCAACTCTGATTCTAAATATCTTTAATTTTAGGGATATTAATCCTCATCTACCACAGTATATTTCTTCTGCTCCATGGTATTTTGGTGCGAAAACTGCAACTTTGAAACACCAAAGGCCCCAACCTGATCGACAGAAAGATTTCAGTCAAATTAGTGATGAATATGTACGAGGATTAAAGGTAATTACTCCTATTATATTTAAGAAGAAAAAAATAATTTTTTTCTTGAATTCAAATTTCACAAATGAGTAAATTTCTTCAGTAAGTCGGTATAATGTAATCGTTTTCTTAAATTAAACCATCTGAAAATTAATATAATATGTCTTGGTTACAGCTTTATATTTTTTAAACTAATTACGCCTTGTATATTTCTATTATGTTTTTCACTTTATCAAAGATTTTTTTAAAAATTTTAGATGATTTAAGACCTTTAAAAAAAAAATGCTGTGACTAGCTATCTTAAATAATTAGGTAATATCAAAATCATGCAATTACTTTGAAATATAATAAAAGAATAATTTTTTTTTAAGATTTTAATTTATTATTTTCATAAACAAAATAAAAAAATTAAGATACCATTAATTAATGATTTACAGGTGTATATCATTATAACTTTTATTAGTATAAACCTTTGTTAATTAGGGATTCTATCTTATGATTTTTTTAAAATTAAAAATGCATTGCCAAAAATGAGAATCTGTTTGACAATTGTCTTCTTAGGTTGTATTGAGAAATAATTTTTTGATTTATAAAGAAAAAGTTTGGAAATATCTTTTACTTATTTTTAGGGTTCAATTTGTGTCCGCTATCGCCCTGGTGCATGTGAGAACTGTGGTGCAATGACACACACGAAAAAAGATTGCTTAGAGGTACACTAACTAATTTTTCTATGTAAATTGTTTTCTTTTATTCCTTGCTATTGTTTATTAGTTATTGTATCAGAAATGTTGTTTGTTTCTTTTTTATAAATCATTTAACTCTTTGTGTAATTCGAATTGATTTACAAAAATGTAATGCAATTATTTTACTTCATCGTCTGTCGCGCCTTGTGTAAAACTAATCTGTTTTGTTTTTTTTTACTTCGTTGTTCAAAATATATTTTTATGGCCTTGCTTTCATCCTGTTAAATCAATAAATACCAATGGATTACATTTATTTTAATTATCCCTTTTTCTCTTAAAAAATGCATATCAAATAAGGATAGTTCTTTTATACCTACCTACAAAAAAAAAAAATCAAATAAGGGTAGTTGTTTTTTTCCTAGCTATGTTAATTTATGCTTCGATAAAATGGTTCACAACCTACAGCATGGAGGCTAAATGTCACCCTTTAATAGCCCTCTAGTGTCACCGATTCCGCTGGTGTTGAGTTGGGTCTAGTCAGTTCTATCATGATTGTAGCCTAACCATCCAGCTTATATAAATAGCAAGGTGCACATTTAATCTGTTATGTCTTGCAGTCATCTCATCTGTTGTGGCATGGAAGATAAGAGTTAAGGGTAGTTAAGTAAAAATATTAGAGTTAAGGCTACCAATTCATGCTGTCCACATTGACGAGTGCTAACATTTGCAAAAGGCCTCAAAATTTTTCAAACAATTAGAAACGTCCGTTATTTACACTTATATACTGAAGAGAGAAAAAAAAAAGGCAACCCGTTACAAATGTTGAAGTTTTATTCTTTGCATTTAAATGAAAAGAGTGTGTTCAACTTGAAATTTCTTTCTTTTTTTTTCAGTAAATAAATAAACATGTTTTTTTTATTTTAAAAATTTTTTTTTACTTATTTTAAATTTATTAATTTTTAAATTTTTTATTACTTTTCATACTTTTTCAAATCTTTCTTTTAAACTCATGTCCGTCACGTTCGTATTATTCTCAATGGTCGATACTTCGAGAAATGATGAATCGAGGCAATATGATGAAAAATAAATTTTTCTTGAAGGAAATTTAAAAACCTGTCATAATTTAATTTGATTAAAAAAGACTAAATGTCCAAAATATCAAAAGTTTTTTTTCACTTCAGAAACATACATGTATTTTATTTTTTAATTGTAATGCCAAATTGCTATTGTTTTAATAAATTTTGATATTGTTTGAATATAATTTTACTGTTTCTTTTTCAATGGCATTTTACTTTCTATTTTATTAAGACAACCAAAATAAATAAGTAAATAGATTATTAATTAGATATAAATATAATTAAGGTTTAAAAAATCATTACAGTGACGTTTAAAGAAAAAACCCCAAACTCTTGGAATCGCTTTTACCGTGTCACGAAACCTTACGGTTAAAGAAGTTAATTGACATAAATATTTATTTCTGTGTAACCTTTAAAAAGGAAAACTTTCTGTACCGTTCTTATGAAAAAGATGTAGCTTGCTTTAAGGAAAGATTTCAGTACACATAAAAAAAAAAAGAAAAACTTTCACATTAAAAAATAATAATTTAAATCAAAGAGCATTTTATATTAGAATGCATACCTGCCAAGTCTCCTGTTTTTTTTAACAAAGACTCCTATATTTTATGACTATCTCCTGTTTTTGAAGAAATTAAAAAAAAAATTTTTTTCAATAAAATAACTGTTGATGGCTAAAATACTTCTCTTATTCCTCAACAGATGGTGTTATTGCCAATATTGATGTTGAGTGTTAATAGTTTAAGTAATTATAAAAGATGTTTTGAAAACGTTTTCTTTACTTTAAGATTTAAATACATATTTTTTTCTTCGGCAAATGTAAGTGCTTATATTATTTCCTATTTTGAATTTCTCTTCTTGACTTACATGATTATGCACGATGAATTAAAACACTTTACTCGTAGTCTAAAAAATGTCGCTAGTAAAATCTTCGTTATTTTATTTCTCCAGTGTTGGCAGGTATGAGAATGAACAACATACTAAAAAGAAATGCTAAATATTAAAAGTGTATACTTAAAAAGATTCCTTTTTTAATTTAAAATAATTCCTAATATGGTTATTTTTTAATTTTCAAATGATAGTAGCTATGATACTTTTAGCTACTTTATATGTTTTCTGCATTCTCAATTTTTAAAATATTTTCAGCGACCCAGAAAAGTTGGTGCTAAATATTCGCAAAGTGATTTTGCACCGGATGAGACAGTACTTCCAAATCTCATGCTAGATTATGACGGTAAAAGGGACCGTTGGAGTGGTTACGACCCAAGCAACTACCACAATATTGTTGAGGAATTTTCTAAAATTGAAGAGGTATTTTCCTAATGCAATATCATTTTTCTTAAATTAATTTTTATAGTTTATCCTTTTTTTTATCCGTAATAATCTGGAACAATGAGGAAAGAAAATAAAGGAATTTGTATATCAGAATTTTATTCTAATGCCCAAAGTACTTAATTTGCTTTTGAGATAGTACAAATTATGAAAAAATTTATAATGTTTAATTTTGGTTCAATTTATATCAATGAAAGTAGATATTTTCTGACCTTTTTCTATCCTTATTCTAGTTAAAAATCAGATAAAAAAAATTATATCTCATAATAACAACAGCAAAGGGGGAAAAAAAATACTTGCGTCTGACATCTTTTAACTGCTCTACCTGAATCCTTTTACATAATAAGTTTGTTAAGTTTATTTTTGTAGCATATTTTTATAACAAGATCATTATTTTCAATTTGAATAATAAGTAGTTTGAATTATATTTTATATGTATGAATAAGACAAGATTGAAAAATTATTAAAGATGGATAAGTTTTGATAAATTTGAGATTGGTAGATTTATGCCTTCAGTTATAAAAATAAGAGAAATTTGATGATTCATCAGATGGATGATTCACTTGATTCACCTAAGAAAATTAGGGAAAAGACAGAGATTTTCTTTTTCTGAGTACTTGCGGCTGTGTATACCAATATTGCATGTTTATTTCATTGTTAAAAAACATCACATTTCGTTTGTATTTAGGTTTTTTGTGTTTACTGTTTTTCTAATTTTGTTAAAAATTATGTTGTTTAATTGTTAGGAACTAACATATTTCATTTTCTACATGCATATCTTTTTTCTTGTGAAATTCTGTCCATCTTAATATTCTTTCTTACTAATTATTAATATATTTTTTAGGCTAAGCGTCATTTAAAAGAAGAGAAACTAAAGCAAGATTATTTATCAGATGAAACTAACTTAGCTAAAGAACAGGTATTATTATTTTTTTTTTTAACAAATTTTTTTTATTTCTATGATTCTATTTCAGCCTAACCCTGAAATGTTTATTTGTAAGGTTGTAATTTTAATATTAATATTGTAAATTGTAATTTTAATCTTTGTAGTAAAGTATAAAATATTTCTATGTCGCAAAGTCAGAATTTCATTTCTGAAATTAAGCTGGAATTGTAAGTTTGAAGTGTATTTGATAAAGTTTTAATTCCTAATATAAAGCTTTAAGTTGCTTTAAAGACAGAAAATCCCACTTCTCTTTTTCACGCATGAACTTAACTTTATATCTATACACCTTGATGTCTTTCATGTAATAACGATGAGTTTGATGGAAAAAGACGTTCTCATCCAAGAAGTTGTTTAGTAAATATTATACTAAATTGAGTATGATTGATGCAATAAAGTAAATGTTAAGTTTTTGTTTTGAAGAAAATTTATTTAACTGGTTATTAAGATATCGGAATTTGAATGCTATATATATATGTAGTACAACTCATGTAATATATGCAGTGTTTTATCAACATGATAATTACTTTTTGTTTTTCATTAATAAGAACAAAATATAATTTTTAATTTGTAAATATAGTTGTTTTGTTTTGATAAATGTTAATGACTCTGAGAGCGACCAAGAATCATTACTGAAAAAATGGTTTTCAATGTTTTATAAATGTTTTTTGCTGATAATTTTTCCTTATTTTTGCAGACAAAAGATGCTGATATTGATGACGATGATGATGAGGAGAAGTATGCAGACCATGCTGATATGCCAGGTACAAAAGTNAAGTCGTTTCTGCATTAAATTTCATTTGATTCTGATGATTCTTTCATGGTGTTGCATTTTCTACAAACAGCAGTTTATTATACTTAATCGATTATGATTGATACAATAAATTATATATAAAATTTTTGTTTTGACGAAAATTTATTTAACTGGTTATTCAGATATCGGAATTTGAATGCTGCATGTATGTAATGTTTAATCAACTACTGCTACATATATGTAGTACTATATGCAGTGTTTTATTAATATTAATATGATAATTACTTTTTGTTTTTCATTTATAAGAGTGAAATATAATCTCTAATTTGGGAAAATAGTTGTATTGTTTTGACAAATGTTTACAGCTCTGGGATAGACCAAGAATCATTACTGAAAAAATGGTTTTTCATGTTTTATAAATGTTTTTTGCTGATAATTTTTCCTTATTTTTGCAGACAAAAGATGCTGATATTGATGACGATGATGATGAGGAGAAGTATGCAGACCATGCTGATATGCCAGGTACAAAAGTAGACAGCAAACAAAGAATTACGGTCAGAAATCTTAGAATTCGAGAAGATACTGCTAAAGTAACTACGAAACCGTAATTTTTTTAGCAAAATTATTTCTACGATATCTTGTACGAAAAATACTAAGTTTCTGTTGTTTTTCAGTATCTCCGAAATCTAGATCCTAACTCTGCATATTATGATCCCAAGACGAGAGCAATGAGAGATAACCCTTACAAAACCACTGGAAAAGATGCTACAGAGTAAGGCTAAACTTTTTTTTTATAGATATATTTTAAATAATTTTTTTGTTTAAATTATATTAGTAATACCTCTGAAATATATTACGCTACAATTTTTTTTTACCTCTTATACTGTATAGTGCCAAAAAAAGGGGGGGCAAACATATTTGTAGCTGCCAACTCTACTGGATTTTGCAAATTTCTCTTGGTGTACTGGTTTAATTAAAATTCTCCTGGTTTTTGTACATTTTAGAAAATTCCCTAAAATTGAGTAAGTTTCCTTAAAATGTTCCTATTGAAATAGAATTTTTGTACAAGTTATTGCTTGCTTACTAGAATATTTAAATAAGTATTACTAATACATAATGAAATGAACCTCATTTATAGAAATCAGATCAAAACCTTTTTGTTCTATGATCAGTTTATTTTTATTCAGAACTCTGTTTTTAAATTAATTAAAAAATATATTTTAACTATCTGTGATGAATTAAATGCCTATTAATATTCTAAATGAGTAAACATAATACATAACATTTCAAATATGTTTAATGTCAATCACAACTGGAAAATATGACAATTTGTCTATTTTAATGACTTTAAATGTCTCTAAAATTCCCTATGTGTATAATATTTAGTACATTATGCGACAATTATCATGAAATTTATCTTATTTCGTAAAATTTACTGAATTTTTTCCTAACCATGTTAGCAGCTATGCATATTGAATAATTCTCGACTTAAAACCAGATATCAAAACTGAGCTAGCGAAGTGAATATGAAAATAACTATTTATTATTGTTTATTTCAATAATGTGTTAAAAAATTTGAATTTCAAGGTATGAAAATTAGTATACCATTTTAATNTTGTATTTTCTTTCTTTCCTTTTTCTTGTCTTGTAAAAGTAAACTGTTTTTAAATTGCAAAGCGTGCATCATTTTACCCCACCAAAACACCGCGTAAGAAGGTGCACTTGAGCGAAAAACGGTGGCACTGGGGAGTGAATCACGTAGATTTTACTCGGCAGTTAAGGGGTTAATATTCTAAATGAGTAAACATAATACATAACATTTCAAATATGTTTAATGTCAATCATAACTGGAAAATATAACAATTTGTCTATTTTGATGACTATAAAAGTCCTTTATATTCCCTATGTGTAACATGTTCAGTACATTATGCAACAATTATCATGAAATTTATATTATTTCGTAAAATCTAATGGATTTTTTCCTATCCTATATACAGCTATATATTTTGTATGCAGCTTTTTTTTTGCTTATTAATTTAAAATTCATGCAGTATTATTATTAAAAATTTAACGTGTTCTAAATTTAATGTGTTCCTAATGTTAGATTTAATTAATTTTTTTCCTTATCCTCCTTCTAAAAAAATTATTGCATATGCAAAAATGTAAATGATATGCAATGAACAATTCCTTCTATAAGAACAAAGTCTTGCTTCGAGGATATTTCAATTAGTTTAATAAATATTGACATATTTTAGTGTTATGTATTGAAGACATGTTTTTAAAATTCTATTTTTATAAAAAAAACCTGACAACAGAATGCACATTCCTAGGTCAAGAAACGCAACATTCACAAGTACTCACAGTACGAACAATCACTCTGTGATTGTTATTTTATGGGCATGTAACTAAGATTGTCTTTCAAATTTTTTCAGAAACCTGCACTTGTCTGATTAGAATTTTTTTAAAGTATTTCAAATGAGTACAAAAAGTTAAATATTTTTAAAAAGTTAAATGTAAAATATTTAGTACATTATGCAACAATTATCATGAAATTTATATTATTTCCTAAAATTTACTGAATTTTTTCCTGTCCATGTTGGCAGCTATGCATATTGAATAATTCTCAACTTAAAACCAGGTATCAAAACTAAGCTAGCAAAGTGAATATGAAAATAATTATTTATTATTGTTTATTTCAATAATGTGTTAAAAAATTTGAATTTCAAGGTATGAAAATTAGTATGCAATTTTAATCTGTGTACTATATTTGTCTGCTTTTAGAATTTTCTAATTTAATTTGTATTATTATTGAAACTGATAAGAAAATTTCTTTTAATCCAAACTATGTAAAAACGTTGACTTATGAATACTGTTCTAAATATTCTCTCTCATAATGATATGAGTTCAAATAATTTAAAATAATTTTGAGAACTTTAATTTTTTAACTAAATTTTGAGATTTTTTTATGGTCTGATCCAATGTATCTAAACCATTTTTTAGAAATAATTATGATGTTTAATTATGATGTTGCCTTTTTTTCTCATTGTTTCTTTATTATTCATATGATAAAATAAGTAACTAAAAGTATGTTTTTGATTTATTAGGTTAGCTTATGCTGGTGATAACTTTGTTCGTTATACGGGAGATACTTCAAAGCATAGTCAGACACAATGTAAGTATAAATTTATCTATTAGCTCTCAATTTTTATTTTATGTAAAATTACTTATTAAGCTTTTTCTATGAGTTGATCTTTAAAACTGATAGTTATGTATAAAACAGATTGTTATGCATAAATTGAAAGAATAAGGCATAAATTGAAAAAAATTGAACACCAGAAATAACTTTTGCTCTAACAATTTAATTATCACATACTAGAGCTCAATCTTAATGGGTTAAGCTGTTAATTTTTAAATAATTTAATTGATTAGCACAGAGTGTTATTTTAAGTTAAAAAAAATCAGGCAGAAAAACTATACATTTCTCTAATACAGGCAGAACTTTCTCTAAATAAATATTCCTTCTTTTTTCTGGCAGATTGTAATTTTTGACTCCAGAAATATAAGAGCCACTCTCTAAAAAATATAGTCCCAATAATTTACTCTGGAGAGCTGTTTAAAGTTAAATTTCTTAATGTTTATCATTAAGAATTGCAGATTTCGCTATATCTCTGAAACTACCGAAACAAACATTTTTTGTACACAATTATAAAACTTAATAATCCAACGATAATTTTATGTAGCTAAAAAGTTTGAATAACTTTTTAGAATTTTTATTAAATTTTTTAATAACAGTCAAAAAAAATTATATAGTGTGCAAATTCTTACATAATTTTAAAGTATTTTAATAATGCTATTATGAAACATGCAAATTTTTGCATCATTTTAAAGAATGTAAATATTTCAATGACAAAAAAAGGAAATTTGAACAAAATTTAAAGAAATTTAAACCTTGATTTCAATGATTCCTACCTTGTTTGACTTTCCAAGATCTATTCGACCAAAAATTATTCAACTTGTCGGCTAATACCATAATCAATATCGAAAAATTAGTTTTGCACATGTTATAAAAAGAGTGTTTTTAGTTAGATAAATTCTGGTAATTTTTATTTTCTTTCTTAAAATAATAATTTTGTGCTTTTTTTTTAAATAACTGCATAACTTGCTTACATTTTGCAGCATATAAACTTAAATCCTAAATGAACTCTTGAACTACTTACATTTTAAAAATATTTTTGTTTAAAAAATATTTTTACCGAAAGGCAAAAGTTATCTGTCTTTTTACACTTGTAATTGTTTCAGCATTTTAAAACATAGTTGTTATTTCTTTGTTTTTCCTAAAAAACATATTTTTTTAAATAGAATAAGAGTTTGAAAAAAGTTATAGATATTTGTAATTCAAGTAATGTATTTTTATATACATATACAGTCATTTCTCAATATTAGAAGATTAATAGGAGATACTAAAAACTTCATGATATCAAGCATATATATATTCGTATATGACTTGACTATTTTAATCGAATATATATATTTTTTAACAATTCAGTCAAAATAATGACTGTATAGTGTTTAAAAAATACATGTATTTGTTGTACATGTATTTATTTCAAAAAACATTTATTTTGAACAATGCCAATATTTATGATTTTCATTTGATTTTACATTTAGTTTTCCTGTTTCATCATCTTCCTTCTCTAATATATCTTCAGATGCAATCTTTTCTTTAAACATTTCTGATTCTTTCCAATCACCAAATACTGCAAAATTATTGTCTAGGGCATGGGTCGCCAAACTTTTTTGATCATCAGCCCCTATATAATTTTTCGAAATCTCCATCGACCCTTATAAAAGTAGTTTTCTGTTAATTAAAGTAAAACTCTATTAGATACTGTTTTGTACATTTATTTTATGATTTTGAACATTTATTAAAGTAATAGTACATTGTGTAACAATAGTTTTATGAAAAATATATTAATATTGAAATTTAAATACCTTATTATTAAATAATAAGTAATTATGCATAAGTAGATATAATAAGTAAAGTAACTAAAGATTTACTGCTTCTTGATCAATGAGATGGGTGTGCCTGGTGTTTTTTTGCAAGGTTCGCTATATTGGGTTCAAAATTGGTCAATTTTAATTTTCGTCAAAATTGGTCAATTTTGTAATTTTCGTAAAAAAATACAAAGTGTGCTATAGTTTTGTCGCGGGCTGTACTAATCCATATTATTAATGCTTACCTTCTTTTTTGTGCTTTGATAATTAAAATTGATATCTAAACTAAACGAATGGTTTTATCGAAACAATAACTAATTATCCAAAACTATAAAAGTTTTAATAATGACACTACAAATATTCAACACAGTTTGCAAAGATAGCTGAAACTGCGTATGATATTTGCATTTGTAACGTTAATGCTCGTCACACGTGACATTTGGACAAGCGCACATATGCATATTACTTATAAACTGAGCTGAGTTCGTGCCACTGCTCGGTGGTACGTAAATACTTGTTTCACCTGAATAAATATACGTTTATTAATTTATGTTTTATAAAGAAACTGATATTGAGTCAATTATAAAAAAAATTCACAAATTTTACATACAAATTTTACATTAGGTACGTGTGATTTGCGTATTGAGAACTGTTTTTTTTCCGACCCTTCCGATTCGGATCGACCCCCATTCGCCCCCCTGTCTCAGATCGACCCCTGCTTTTGTTAAATAGACCCTTGGGGGTCTATATAGACCACTTTGGCGACCTCTGGTCTAGGGTAACTGCATAAGTGCCAGTTTCTTTTTAATTTATTAAATTAATAAAACTTTCCTATCTTATCAGCAGATATTCTTATCTGTACATCTCTTACATGTTCTTTTCTTTAGGAAAGGATAATTCAGGCAAGTTCTTTTCAAACATGATAATCTCTCTCTTTTTTGGAGTTACAAGAAATAATTCATAAAATTGTCCAAGAAAAGTTTTTAAGAATTCAAATTCAAAAATGCATTTTAAATTCTCCAGAAATCGGTAAAATGTTTTTTGGATTATCAACATTATGTCGTGAAATTGAGGTTCACCTAAAATGATTTTTTTATTATTAGCTGCACAACAAATGCGTTGGTATTTAGTTTTTTTTTGGGTGGGGATATTGAAAAGTTCATGATATCAAAATTCATTATATCGAAGTAAGGAATCCAGACATCAATTTGTAATATCGTGGTCCCTACACATGTATAACGAATACCTCTAAGGGATTTCAAATTTCTTGTGATATTCAAAAGTTAATGTTACCAAAAGTTGTTATATTGGGGTTAAATCCTTTTTCTTTTGACAAGAAGGTTAGAGTGGCACTTGACCATGTGAAGACTGTATAGGATTCTAGATTATGTATCAGAGATGGGCTCAGCCCCGGCTTGACACAGGCTCAAACTCCTTTGCTGGTGAAAGGTTTCGGGTAGACTCATAATCACAATAAAATTTTAAAAAACTTTTTACTTACTTTTAAAAAATACTTAGTACAGTTATTAAGCATAAAAAACGTAAAATTTATTAATCAATTTTGATTAGAAAGTTTTAATGACCGATTTCCTTGTTTAGACCTAAAAGGCCAAGTGGTGAAACCCCAAAATTTGGCTCTTATCCAACATATACAGTGAACTCTCGCTACTGCAATATCCCATACAACAATAACTCCCTTTATTACAATGTTTTGTGGTCCTGGCAAACTTGCATATGAATTAATGTTATCCTCCTCTCAATATTGTAATATTATCTAAAGCAGGGATGGCGAACCAATGGCACGCGACACAATATTTTGGGCACGCCACCGATCACAAAGTTCACTATGAAGCATATTAACAATTAGATTAAATTTCACAAAGCACAAAAAAATAGGCAATTATTGACAAAAAATGTAACAATTAATGTCAAAAAATAACTAATGACCATAAAAAACAAAATAGCAAAAAAAAAAAAATTAATTAACAGTCCTGCTTAAACTAACGTCTTACAACCTAATATAAGTTATTTGTCATCTTATCTGCAACAACAGAAGTCACACTGATGTTACTTAAGTTGAACTACGCGTATAACTGAGACATTGCAAAATGTTTTTTTTTTCATAGTAAATAAATAGTTTTGAGTTGATACTATTTTGTATCATTATTTTCCCAAAAATCACGAAGTCAAAATAATTTGACGGCACGTCCATGATCTCATTAAGCGTTTTTTTTAGAAAAAATGGCACGTTGGTGCTTAAAAGTTTGCCACCCCTGATCTAAAGCATTAAACCCCTGTAAAATGATTTTTTTTTCAAATTTCAATTTTATTTTCTCCATTTATTACTGGTTTTCATGTAATGTAAAAAATCTTATTTTATCATATTTTGCCATTTTTTCCAGTCTTTTCTAACAAGAGATGACTCATTGCTGATTATGTACTTATCTTATTTCTTTTCACCACAGTGAATAGCTTTTGTATTCAGATTTCAATTACCCATCCTTGATGTACATAGACTGCCCCAAAACCTTCCATTCTCAGATTTGCTTTCCTTATCTCTTAAAAAGTCACTGATATTTCATATTTACCTATCTTATTTCATATTTAACCATAATTAACACTCGGCAAATTAAGTTTTTATGTTATATTTAAATAGATTTATTGTTAATACATATATAACATTAAAACTAAAAAAAAAATATTATTGTGTTCCCAAAGTATGTATGCCCTCGATATAATAATATATCCCTCTACAACAATATACAGGGAATATACTGGAAAGTCATGAAAAATCATAGAAAGTCATGAATTTCAGTATTGAACAAAATTTATCATGAAATGTCATGATTTTTACTATTTTTTTAAAAAAAATCACGGAAAGTCATGGATTTTGGTCTCCGAAAAATCTAATTTTTAAAATGGAATCCCCTCCCCCAATTTTATCTTGTTCCAAATATCTGAATTCCTAACAAAATCACCACTCAGTCATATTTTACTAGAATATAAAATGATTTTATCATGTTTTTATGGTGTTCTTTCAAGAAATGAAAGAAAAAACATCATTTCTGGACTGAGTTATCTTTTATATTTCTGTGATTTAAGAATTTTTTTTTTTTTTTTAATTTTATCAACTTAAAATTCTAGTTGAAACAATCCAGTCATCAGTGAAATTTTTTTATTCCAAAATGAGTACAGAAAAATCAGGAGTATTTCTTTCCTTTCTGATGAACAAGAAAAATATCTTTAGAATATAATTCTGCAGAAAAAAAATTTTTTGCTTTTGTATTTTTTTCAGCTATATTATTTTTTCAACTCTTTCTTTACTCTGTTTTTGAAATTTGAAATCTATAAATATGAAGATGCAGAGTATAACAGTTTTGGTTATACCTATAATTTCAATTAATGTTATTATAATGCCTTTTTGAATTTATTGTTGCGTTTTTGTCGGAGAAAATAGTAACTTTGTTAAGTCATGAAAAATTCTTGGAATTTGTCATGGAAAATCATGAAAAGTCTTTAATTTGAAAATCTAAAATGTAGCAGATACCCTGAATATATTTATTTGGTCTCTAAATTTTGTTGCAGCGAAGTTTTACTGTATCTTAGGTTTGGGCTATAAGTAATCCTATTTATTCTGGGCCTCCAAAAGAGCACCCGGACTCATCTATATAGGTGGTGTTAATTAAAATAAATTAATTGGAAATATTTATTTTACAGCTTTTGCATGGCAAGCCTATGAGAAAGGAGTGGAAGTGAACTTGCTGGCAGAACCCACAAAGGCAGAACTTCTTCATCAAGAATTCAAAGTGAAGAAGGGAGAAGTGAAGGACAACATTAAGAACAGCATCATTGATACTTATGGGGGAGAAGAATATTTGGAAGCTCCACCAAAACAATTGATATTCTCTCAATCTGTAAGAAATACTCTACTAAACATATACAGGGTGTCTAAAAAGTGTTTTAAACTGCAGTATATCAAAAATTTAAAACTGCTATTATAAACTATTTTCAAACGATGCATTTAATAATATCAAACTAGTTTCCCCAACTTCAACCCATTTTTTAAAAATTTTATTTTTAACCGTCGGCGAGCAGTTGATCCAATTATGAAAATTAAATATGCCTGTTTTCAGTTCTCATGTAAGTGAAGTGTTAAGAAAATATCTTAATTAAATAAAGCTGTGCTTAATTTTTTTTGTTCAAAATTAATTACTTTAAGTTACCCATTAAGATAAATTTTTATTAAATAACTTTTATACTTAGATAAAAATTATGAAATCTTATATTTTGCTAGTAAAGAATGGATTTAAATATTCTTTCCTATTTACCGTTTCCCTATACTGGTGATTTTGCACTGTAGCCTGGTCTGCTTAAAAAAATTTTTCCTGCAAATTCAATGTATCTCATATCAAATTAAAGGTCATTAAGTATATTTTATGAATATTGATTTTTTTTTTATCAAAATAATGATGTAAATTCTTTGTGTTGCATAATATGTGAAAAAATTGAATTTAAAAGTTGCGGACATGACAAATAAGTTTATTAATTTTTTTTGTTGCTATTGTTGCATTATAATACTTGTAATTAATTAAAAATGATATTTTAAGACATGTACTGTATTTACCTAGTTAAAGACTGAAAACATTGCATTTTTGCTTTTAGTATTTAAATATGGGATACTTATAAGAGCACATGCTTGCTTTTCAATGTGTTTTTAAAATTTTATTACATTAAAGCAGTTAACGAGTTTATTTTCCCAAGGAATAAATTTCTTTAGTTTATTTACTATGTTGTAAAAATATGCTTTATTTAAAAGGTTTTCATTTAATATTTTTTGTTCAATAATTTTTAAATTTTTTTTTTTTTAATTTGGTCATGTTTGCAATGTTGCAGACATGACAAGTTGCAAAATACAATTTCATTAATCTGTAATAAACTTTTGAGCTTAATAAGAAATACCTATGTATCAAATAGATTTATGTTTGAGACATAAGGTTTTCACAAAAAATTTAACATTGATGTTCATTGGTTGGTATGCATTAAGTATACAGATGTGCGAACACAGTTAGCGGAAAATTTGTAAACAGAACATGAGAACATTTTTTAGCATAACATGAAGAGAAACTTTTTGTCATGTCTGCAACCATCATGTCCGCAACATACGTGTTGTTTTTAATTAATTTTCATTTAAATTAATTTCTTCAAAAATCTTGTCATTCCTTTTATACGAATGTACTCTAAAATCTTACCTTAGTGTTTTTTTTTAAATTTTATTTCATAAAATTTAAGAATTTTAAGAAATGTAAGATGATATTTAAAAAACAATATTCTTCTGGACCAATACTTCAAATTATTTCTTTTAAATGTGCTTTAACTAAGCAAAAAAAAGAAAGAAAAAAAATTCTCCTGATTTTATAATTAAAAAAAAACTCACCTAACTCAGTTTTTTTATTTAATTATGAGTAATCAAACTTCATGTCAGCACTGAATTCACCCTTCAATCAATGAAAATTATTATTATTATTTTTTTTAAAAAAAGCTTACTTGTTTGGCTGCCTTGCAATTATCTTTGGCTTTAAACCAAAAATACTATAGACTATTATAGTATGCTCTATTGAATTTTTAGTTCTATCTGAACATAAATTAAAGCAATGAGATAGTGCTCATGATTTACTGTTCTAATCATTTACACTTTCAGTACAGTACCCTATCCTTGTTCCAAAACTCATATCATTGTTATGCTAATGACCAATATTTTGATTTTTTAATCATAATTTTTTCTCTAGGAAGACTATGTGGAGTACTCAAGGCAAGGAAATGTTATTAAAGGAGATGAAAAACCTGTCATCAGGTCTAAATATGAGGAAGATGTTCACATTAATAATCATACTGTAAGTAATTTACTTTCAAACTTTTGTTGTTATGTAAATAACTAACTTAAACATATGGCATTTTCTGTGGTTGTTCTGTGTAAATGTTCATAATAACTTAATGCTAACACTTATGTTATCTATGTTATATGCTCACCACTTGCTTTTATTGTTTCTGGTTCTTAGTCTTACTCATCTGGAACCAGGGTTTGCCAAGGAAATCTGGCAGGTTTTTTTCAGATTGAGCACACTTGATGAAACCTATCTTTATACCCACTAAATGGGGTTTTTTCATTTTATCATGTTTAAACAATTATTAATATTTTAACTAAAAAACTAAACTAAATACATGCAAAAAAATACATGATTAAAAATTTTAATCTTTATTAAAATTTCTTTGGAGCAAAGAGTGGAATCTGGTATGTTGTACCGAATACATGATGATAATTTGTGGGACCAGTCATATAACATAGCTATCAATTTTTCTGATTACTCCAAATTACCCCAATAGTTACAAAATGTTTAAAATAAATTTTTTTTTTTTAGTTTTTCGATTTGTATCATAAAAAACACAGGTTATAAATTAGGGCTTTACTTCATTTAGCTTTCTGTCAATTTTGAGCTAAATAAACCAATAATTACAAATAAACCAAAATTCAACTATACATAAATTACAGGTTTGAAATTCTTTAATAACTATATTTTGTAATGATTTGCTTTCAGGCTGTTTTTGGATCGTATTGGCAAGATTTCCAGTGGGGTTACAAATGCTGCCATTCTTTTATTAAGAATTCATATTGCACTGGACTTGCGGGGAAAGAAGCTTTTAAAGAAGTTAGTCTTGATTTTATCTTATATGTATAACTGCACTTTGGTATGTATAGTATAAATTAGATTGAATAATTCTCTCTTTCATAAATTAATTTGAAAATGAAAACAATATTTTTTTGTTACATCAGTAATTTATTTTTAGAACTTTTTGAATTGCTTTGTTGAACAAAATAAACTCTCATTAACATCAAGATGGTCTGTAATTACCTATCTCAAAAAAAGTAACACCATAACAAAAAATAAAAATTTTATAACTGTATTTGTTATTATTTTCTTAAAAATGATTGTTTTTAAAATTTTTAAATTCACTGGCCCCAATAGGCTGTTACATAAATGTTTTATTTTTATCCTTAATTTACTAGTGAATGTTTTTCAAACATGCAGTATATGTTTCAGGTATCATCTATATCTTTGTTGACAGAAAAATTGGCCAAACCAGTCGCAAGTAATCCAGAACCAGCACACAACTCAGAAGATTCGACTCAAGAGGTAATTTCTTCCTCTCAGAATTCTCCATATATTCCCTGTTACTCAGGGAAATATTATGCATGTATATCATATTATACTCTTATATATATATATATATATATAAATGGTGGCAGCGGTGATACGTGCTCACACCGAACACAGAAGGACGCCTTGTTGTCCAGTGAACTTTCTTTGAAAATAACGGACTCATCTGTCCAGCTTACACGATTTGTAATTAATTGAAGGGACAACCTGTCCATTGATAAGGAACTTTCATTGATTGCTGTCCAGTGATTGCAACTGTCTATGGCTAAGGAACTTTCATTGATTGCAACTGTCCATTGCTAAGGAACTTTCATTGATTGGAACTGTCCATTGTCCATTGCTTGTCTATTGGAAGGAAGGTCCGGTGGAAAACCATAGCTGAGNAATAAATTATTTCTTTTATGAAATAATTTAAATAACAAAAGTCAAGTTATCTGGAATGTCAATTTATCCGAGGGTACTGCGTTTTTTAAATGAATCAAATATGACGTTTGAAAATTCCACAATCAAGCAAATGATTTACAGAGGTTTCTGCACAGAAATCTGAAAGGGGTTTTCCAATTAGGCAGATGTTCATAATTGCGTTTAACGCTTTTCGTTTAAGACCAGTACGTAATGTGTTTTTGTTTTTTTAAGTTCAATGCTGAAAAGCCTCTTTCAACCGCTGCAGTACTCCCAGACAGAGAAAACATCAATTCCACCATGCACAGTATGTTGCTGTATTTCAAGATTAGAGGGACATTTTAGAAGTGAGGCGCTAGACTCTTGTAAGATAACAAAAATTGAAAATATATCACGAACATTAACTAGAAAATGGCCGTTCGCGCGGTCGTTGGATTTGAGAAATTTGTTGTTCGCGGGGAATTTTTGACCGCCGAGGACGGCCGGTTTTTCGAATTCTGTATTCACTATATTTAGAAAAAAAATTCAAACAGGTATGCACAATCATTTTTACACATAAACTAGAAAATACTGTGTTTTGGGTCAAATTGAGTAACATTAGGCGTTAGTTGCTAGAAAGTATATTCTTTATTTGAAAGTAATATGAATTACTAACATTTTTAACTAAATTTTTTGCTTGGCTGCAGATGAAAATAATATTTAATGTAAATAAATATAACTGCAAGGTTACAAAGAAAATTATCTGGGCATATTTATTGGTAAGTTTTTAAAAAAAAATTCCTTTACACCAAATATTTAACTATTCAAAGAGAGAAATGTATAGCCCGAATAGATATGTTTGTAAAAGAGTTGTGTAATGTGTTAAATGAATATAACTCGTAACTTGAAGTTTTGGAGCTGTTGTTACCGTTCTACTTGCGCTTTTATTGTGAGATACAAGCGAATAGCAATATTTCGTAAACTTGAATCGAGTCATTGTAACACGATTTGTTTCAATCCTGTTTCATCTTGAAATGTATGGTCATAAATATAATTATATTTTGTATTTAAAATGAGTGGTGGATCAAAGAAACAATATTCTTAATCATTTTGATGAAATTATATTATAGATTTTCTGTACATTCGTGAAGAGATTTTTTCAACTTTTGAATCAAGTCAGAAAATAAATTCCCATTGCAAATGTTACCAACACTGTATCAGATTAATTTCTTGGTTGTAACTGGAATTTTAAAATTATAATATCCTATCCACTCATCCTTTTTATTTGTACAAATTCATATCAAATTACAGTACTCCGCTATCGCTGCAACTTAAGTTGAAACGAAAGGGTTACAATCTGAGAATTGTTTGATCAGTAATTTACTGTTAAAGGGGGGGGGGAGAAATTTTTGCTTTTTCTTCCATTCATATTTTTAATTAAATTTAAGGCAGTTGAAACATCAATTTTGGCCTGCAGTTTATAGGCTGAGCATTCCTGAATTGAAAATAATTCATTGAATCATTCCTAAAAAATAGCTTTTACCCAGATCAAAAGCAATTTTTGTGAGCTTAATGTTTACTTTGCAATCCTTACTTATATTGTAGATCCTTACCTATACCAAACTCTAGAACGAAGAATTTTGGTTTCAGGGTTCCCACGGGTCAGGGAGAACAGGGAAAACCTGGAATTGTCAGGGAATTTTGTTTCAAATCCGAAAATCAGGGAAAGTTGCAATTTTTTTTTGCAAAAACCTGGAAAATTCCTGCATTATACCTGGAAAATAACCAGTCTTAAAATTGTCAGTGAAAGTAATCAGTTTGAGATTCAACTTAAGTTAATCTAACATTAATTACAACTATTTATTGTTAAAATGTCACACTTAAATCAAACTGATATGTTTCCACCCTCATTTAATGATATTTACTTTACTCAGAAAATCCAATACTTTGCATTACAAATAAAAGAGTCAAAGTTTTCTGATGAAAACTTTTGTGGTATAGATAAATATGGTATGGATTTTCATTGAAATTTACCCGATATATATCTGGAAAAGTCAGGGAATTTCTTTTCTGAAATTGAGTGGGAATCATGTGGTTTGATCCTTGGTGACAGCTTGTAACTACATTCTCACAATCATTTTGTTTGTTACAAATGGAGATTGAACATCCATGACCCCTGTCTAACAATAGGCAGTTTCTGCAATAAGTTTTTTATTTTATGAAAGTTTGTTTTACTATACTTTTGCAGTAGCCTTTTAGTTGTTGTAGAGTTACATTTTTATTATCTTAGGCGTGACAATGAATATATTAATTTTTTTTCGAATAAGGAATAATAAGTAAATAAGCAAAACTTGTAGTCAATATTAAGGCAGTTAATCAATTCAAAAATCTAAATACAAATGGCTTGTTTGTTATGTTTTTTCTACTCATAAACCTTATTTTTATATCATACAGTGTTTCAAAGCTTTTATCGTTTTTAAGGATCAAATAAAGAAAAAGAAACACAAGAAAGATAAGAAGAAAAAAAAGAAGAAGAAGCACCATTCTTCGAGCAGCGAAGATGATTCTGAAGCAGAGAAAGATAAGAAATTGAAAAAGGTTTGTATCTTATGTAATTTTATACTGCTTTTTAACAAAAGATATTGATGTTTGACATACTGTAAAATATAGTATTTTTTTTATAGTAACAAGTTAATATTTAAGATTAAAAGCATTTAAACATGAGCCTTTTAATTTTTTTCTTTATAAGTCGACATGAAATATCATAGACTGAATTGATTTTGCTTAGTCTTCTAATTTTTAAGGCACTTGATATTGTTCTTTTTACAGAAAATTAACTGTTACAATCTAAAATCAAATTATTTACCTTATGTACTTTGTTGTGGCCACCAAAGCCTATTTTTTTCCAGCAGTTTTCCTAAAAGTTAGTACATTTGTAAATTAGTTGTAAATCTAAACATCCTTGTAGTACAAAAATAGTGTTTTTCTGAAAAAATATTTCTAATTATGTAACTCAAGTCTCACAATCCCTATTTAAAATTTTAAAGTTAAAATGCTCTACTATAAAATCTACTCTTGGAAAATTTATCATCATGCATTTTTGAAACTGTATAAAACTAGTAAATTAAAACTGATATATAAAAATTTAGATAGTGATTAAGTTATAGGGTCATAAATAAATTTAGTCAAATTTTGACAGTTAAGCTGTACATTCTGTGGCAAATTTTGCTATCCATGTGTTTTAAAAGTATGATGATATTAACAGAAGTTTTTTGGTCATTGGATCATCACCTTCTTTCTTTTCGTCTCTTGTTACTAAGTTTGTGTTTATTTATTTTTTATCAAATTGCTTCCAACTGGAGTTTTCTCACATCAAAATTTTCTCTAGAGAGGTTTCAATCGAGAATCAGCTGCCACTAGGCTTTTGTTAATGGTGTCAGCTTTTAGTTTAATTATGAACTTTCCATTTATCTAAAGTAGGATGCATTACTCTGGGCACATAACACTTTTTGGCTGGGCCCCCGAAAAATTTATGCAGAGATAGTAAAAACATATCTTATTGTTAAGTATAATAAAGAATGAAACAAAATATACAGGGTGCTTAGTGTTTTTAAAAAGTACTTATTTTCAATTTAAGTTTTTTAAAAGCCCTTAATTTTCTATCTTTTAGAAAGAGATTTTTTCTTTCCCTTGTCGATTGCAGTTTTAAGTTACAAAAAATGCATGATTTTCACAATTTTCTCTGCAATATTTATTAGAAACTAGTTATTTTATCATGATTATGTAAAGTTTCTGATAATGTTTTTGAATTTTATTGATTCTATGTTTATAAATGAACTTTAAACGATAGAATTTTTTATTATTGCACAGATCCTATTTATAATTTTTTTTTTTGGAAAGTGATTAAAAATATTTTGTGAGTCCTTAAAAGGTGCTTATTTTTTGTTGAAAAATCTGGCTGTGCACCCTGATATAGGTAAACAACACAATCAGCTGTGAACACGCAAGCCATGAAAGCTGGAATATGAACAAAATAATAAGAGTATGCATTTAGAAGCTTGGGCACGCACAAAGTAAGAGCACCTACTTAAGTTAAAGGGAAGAAATGAGCATTGCATTCCAACAGTTCTTTTATCAAAATGTCAGTTTAGTTATTTAAAAAAATAATATTTCCCTTATTACCAATTTCTAAAACTTATTTTTGTACACAATATTTTCAACATAGCTTTATCACATTACATCGTTTTTGCTACACATGCAATTTCATACACTCCCAGATATTACCTTCTTTTTTATCTATGATTAAAATGGCTATTTTTTTTTTAAATGTTAAATTCATATTTGGTGATTATAATTTATAGGCTCTGAAGGCTGAAGAAGAATCTCAACAAAATGCTGACAGGCTGTTAGCCATGGATGAAAGGAAGCGTCCATACAACAGCATGTATGAAGCAAAGGCTCCTACAGAGGAAGAAATGGAAGCGTATTTCATTAAACGTAAACGTGCGGAAGACCCAATGGTTGGATTTTTATAAAAACATTCAAATTTGTTTTTCTTTGTCAAATATATGTTTAGTAATCTTTTTGACAAAATTTTGTATATATCTTATTTGCTAATAAATGTTAAGTTTTATTTAAGACTGTTTTATTTTGCTTTCGCAGTAATTTTATTTGTGAGTTGATGCAGTTCACTCTAATTTTTTGATGCTGCATTTAAAATTATTTATATTAATATCAAATGTTGTCAAATCAACAATGAGTCTCATTTACCTATGCACAACATTATTTATCAGATCTTGTTTTACAAAGATATTAAGTGGTAAATGAAAGCAGCACAGAAAAATAATAATGGCAATTCAATTATACCAGAATAGTCTAGATTTTTAGTTTATCATGCTGTGGTTTATTGCAAAAGTTTTATTAAAAGATGGATGCTTCACTATTCGACATGAAACCCCTTTATATAAAAGATGTATTTAGTATTTCACACTAATCCTGAAACTTTCAGACACCTAGTTTAGTATGCACTCTATTGAAGGCCTTACTTGAATAATTTTTAACTCTACTTATTAAAATGAGACTATCTCATTCACCCACCTGGAATTAACAGAGAACTTTTTTTATAATGGAAAAATCTGGGGAATTTTAAAGAAAAGCTGGAATTTTTTTCTTTTATTTCTTAATTTTAATTTATTTACTAATTTTCTTAATTTAAATTATTTTATCGTCCATTATACCTGCTTTTTTAGACAGAAATTTATTGCAAACAGTTCAAATATAAATGTAACAATTCTTTGCTTTAAAATTTGCTCCTTTATAACCTTGTGGAACTAGAACGCAACATGAAACTCTCCCATGGTTGCTAAATGAATGGAGAAACTCGTGACCATTTTACAGACTATGCAGTTTAAGAAAGGGAAAAGGCGGCAACAATATTTGCTTCTGTTTATAAAAGTAATGAGTTGTTTCTTTTTCTAGTCCATGCTGTAGGCTGAATCAGGGTGGCCACTCAAATCAGGTTTCAAATTTTTCCAGGTAAAAATCTTAAAATTTCCAGGTTAACATATTTTTTTTTCTCATAAAGTTATAAGGATGGATACACCAAAAGTACCAATATTACAAAGTATTTTATTTTAAATATTTTTTTTAATATATCATTGAAAAACTAATTAAAATGCATTTATTTTAACAACTTAGCAAGAATTTTTTTAATGCTTTGGTACATCATTAATTTAAAAAAAAACCTAAAATGAATGTGGAGAAAATAACATGTTTAGCCTGTAGAATATATTGTTTTTGTTGAATAAAAAAGTTTAATGTGTTACTTTCAATAGTTTTTGCACTAAGTGCACCAAATGGCAAATACTGAGAGACTCAAAAAAACCTTTGACAAGTATTGTTTAATATTTTTTCATTAGTAATGTAATGAATAGTGATTTGGATTTTAGTGATCGAATCCTACGCAAACTGATCTAAGTGGTCACCAACCCGCACACTGACTGCAGTCAGTGATCTGCTGGGATCAGTTCACTGCGGGACCCAAATACATTGATACAAACCAATCTCTAGTGGACTTTTCTTTTAATGTGAATAATTAATTAAACATTAATTTAGAATGTGATGATTCATTATGTCACTCATGAATAAATATAAAAAGCATGAATACAAAAGCTTTATTAAGTATATAATATGTCATTTCACATAGTAAGATAAACTGTGTATTAAATAACAAATTTAGAATCATTTTTTTAACAATGTTGTTCATATTTATTTACATAATTTACACCTGTTCAACAGCTGAGTATGTTTATAAGTTGATAGATTTTAACATGTACACATATTTTCAAGAGTATAAATTTTTTTTACAATCATTATACACTATGCTAATGAGTATTTTTAATTTGAGTTAATTCATGTCAAGTTCAAATAAAAACTGGAGGGAAGATGTTATATGAAAAACTAAATTACAAGGTTGATTTCGGTAACAAAATAAACTCACCGGGCAAAAAGTGTATCCCCTACAGAAATATTCAAAAACATCATTAAATAATTTCTATTGATTACTATCTGGTTTCAGTAAGGTAATGAATCCACAAGTTTTTGGATATGCACCTAGCTTTTTAGTTACTCACTGAAAATTCGACTGCGTAAAGTCACCTAATTGCTGATTTTTGTGTGATTCCAATCAACCCCATATGTTTTTAATAAAATAAAAATCCTGCGAAATCACCAGTTCAAGTCTGGTGATTTTGCAGGCCAATAACGATATAATAGCATGTGTGAGTGTGTGTTGAATGGAATCAGTCACATATTATTCCACCCCAATAACCTTTTCTGTTGTCATCCTGAAAAATAGTAGTACCAAGATTCAACATGAAGTTGTTTTATCATTCAGAATACTAAAATAAACATGATAGTTCATGTTAGAGGTAAATTTAGAAAGCAGACCCATTTACCAATTAAACCTGACGTTGTCTGTAATCAGGCGCCAATATCTGTTGTTTGTGTTCTTATCAATGCATTCTGTAAAGCTAGGTTTTTAAGTGAATTTTTTTATTTTATAAGTAGCTTCCTGATGTTTATGTACATCTTAAAGCTGATTAACTAAAATATCATATTAACATATTCTTCTGCTAAGTGATAAAAAAATAATGTATGAAGTACAACATTAGATTAATTGTGTAGTTTGAGACAGAAGAACCACATTTTATGCCATGGCTAAAATCACAAGGCCACTCCCAACTTTTCCAACATACTAACAAATATGAAAAAAATATATATATATTTCTATGCTGACAATAAGACTTTAAGGCAATAGCAAAAAAATTTTTTATGCAATACTGAGTAGCGTAAAAATAAAAAAGAAGCCCTAACCCTGGTTTTATTGTTAATATCTTTTTTAACACTAAACATACCATGACCGTTTAAGAACTTTTGCATCGAAAATGTGCTTATGATCTTATGGTATTCGCACAATTGACTTCATGACTTTTTCTAACAATTATATGCACTTAATATTCTATTATTTTTATTTTGTTTGTTTTGAATAATACTTGTCGTACACCTATTTCGACCACAAACAGTCATTTGACCGGGAGAACAATTTATTGCTTTATAAGGATCAGAAATTACGATGTAATGCGTGTGCAACGTATTGCATTAGAATAGTTGCTTATTTCTGCAAAGACAGTTGTGTAGTTAGTTCAATCAGAATAACTGTGAATACAAATTTCAAGAAACTACCTAAAATTCTAGATTGGCCTTTTTGTGTTAGAAAAAGTGACAAAAACTAAATGTGTTGGTAAATAGCTAATATTTTACTTTAATGGCTTTACTTCATTTCTAGTTACTTTATTCAGCTAGTTTTTACTCAGAAACATGTTCTAAGAAGAAATAATATTAATCATAAGAATAATTATAATTCTTATAATTATAAAAAAAATAATAATTAGAAGAAATATGTTTGCGGAACATGTACAATTGAAACATCCTGCATATGTAAAAAATGCGTTGAGCAATGAATTAAAAATTCTTATTCTTTGTGTTTGTGATGATACATAAAAATTGGCAATATGCAATTTTGTTTAATTACAACAAAGTTTTTTTTAGTTTATTTCCTTCCAAACATCCATATTTCAAACATTCAATCAAGAAACTTAGTCCCGTCATCTGACCGGCTATATTAGAAATAGGTTTATATTAAGTGTTGGTATGTTTAATGTTAAAGGTTCAGTCAGTAGTGTATAAAATTAAAGTGAATGACTTGAACATTTAATTCCAAAAAATTATTAAACAGTCAATATTTAATTAATAAGGTTTTTGTAAAATTTTTATACCAAGTTCCCAGTATTAGGGCCTCAAAAAATAAGGATGAAATTTCCAAAATTCAATATAATTTGGATCATTTGAATTTGATCATTATTATTTGCATTTCCTCCTTATTGCTCATTTGATCCTTATTATTTTCATTTCTTTATTATTTGCATTGGATGGTGATGACAATAGTTTTAATTTAAATTTTAGATGAGTAACAGTTAACATCGTGTAAAGAAATTAAAAATAAGATTTCAGAAAAGATAAAACCTTTTTTATCATCTTGAAAAACATCAAATCTAGCAATGAATGGATTCTGCATAATGGATAATAGATTTTTTAAATACATCCTAGTTCAGAGCAGTACAGACTTTGATAGTTATTTCTGCATTAATGTGAAATATGTTTACATTCTTTTCTTTAAAATCAAAAGTTTGCACACATAAAAATACCTATTACTTCCGAATATATTTTTTACAGAAATTTTTTTCAAAGGCTAAAGTGAGGAGGTGGACTTATAATCTGAACAATTCCAAGAGGACATCAACAACAGAAATGCCTCTCCTTTTGTTGAGTATTAAAGATAATCGGTAAATATAGCAAAACGTACATACAATACATAAGATAATAGTTGAAAACGGAATGTCAATTTAACAATTGAATAAGAAACACATAAAAAGGATAATTTGAAAGGAATATAATTATTTTTTAATTCATCTAGCTAACCTATGCTTATGTTGATAAGAATATATAAACTAAAGATAAAGAACACACAAAAAATCCAATAAATTCCGTACCAGAATCAGATCTCCGTAAAATTCCGTCAATTTTGGTTCAAGTATCTTATCTTCTGATGTTTCCCTCTTGATTTATGTCTTCATAGATAAAAAGGTCTTCATTTCTATATATATTGCTACCAGTGCATTTTTAAAAAGATTTAATTACCGCGTTGTAAGGTCTGTGCTTCTCTTACTCACTGGCAACTGTTACTACAAGAAGGGTACAGTTTTATTTCCAAGTGTAACATTCCATAATTTTGTTACGCCGGCTAATTACACAAAATAAAAATTAAAAAAAACAGTAGATAGCTAGAAGCTAAAATTTTCCGATTTTCAATTAGTTTTGCCAACATTTTAAAACTCAACGCAACTAAACAGTAATAATTTCAGGGTAACATATAAGCTTTTGAACTATTTAAAAGTAGTGGTGGGTGAATATCTTGTAAATCGAATTAACTAAATAAAAAATCATACAATAAAAGACTACCACTCGAAAATAAATATCCACTGTCAGGAAAGTTGGCATCTATGTATATACCACTTTGAATTTTGGGTGAATTTTTAAATAAAAAATATACTCTCTGGCTTATATTCGATCAATGACTAACTAGGGTAGGGTTTTTCCCGCATTCTAAAATTTAGTAGTCCTTAAGTATCAGTGCATAATATATTCAGTAGTATATGTAGAGATTTTACATATTTTGCCAACATTTTGAAGACAGTATAATTACTTTTAAAAATTCTTTTATTTTTCAATTGTCATTGGTAAAATTCCTGTGCACAGGTTGGTCACTCACAGTTTAAGAATATACTAAAGGAAATACTTTAAAAATGCATTAATAAGGTCAAAGTAAAGAAAAAACAACCGTAGCATTTAAGTTTGTAATTCAAAAATTGAAACTTGAAGTCAATCTATTGCTGACTATTATAATATTTCTTATCATAGAAAATAGTAAAATGAGAAAGTTTTGAGAACGAAACATTTTATGGAAATACATTAAAATACCCAGAATTAACTATTATATTCTAGTTTAGAATACAATATATAAATGAGTAAGTTTCCTATTAAAAAGTATTGCTTTTAACACTACCATTAAATTCATTTATTATTTGCATTTATTTATTAAATCGCAGGGTGAAACATGCAATAGTTTCTAACAGTTGACTTTCAACTCTCTAATTACGGAATCAAATATATTTTGGTGTTTGGTAAATCCACATTCCTCAACTGTTAGATTTTGGCTGTGCTCGTGTTTTACCAGCAATATTAATTAGGAAAAAGAAGACCATTCCTTTCTACGGTGTTTTATTCAAGCTTTTCTTTTATTCTATAAAATATATTATTTTTAATTAGCTGTAGGCAAGAACGAAGAATCCGAAAACCTAATTATCTACGAATGGATAATCAGGTGTATACTGTATGTTTTAAACAGTAGATTATATCAAAAAATAAACAATTTACACACATTCTTCAAATACAGGGGGGGGGAACACAGAGCATTTATCTAAATAGATAATAAAAATAAATTTACATTCTTATATATTGCAATTATTCAAATATTATGTCAGCATATTTTTGCCAGTTTTGAAACCCTACTCCTACCCTTGTCTGTAAAATTAAGCAAACCACAAACCCTCTTTCAAGCTTATGTATGACAGTTGCTACTCCCCTAGATTTTGTTTCAATTAACTAAATAATCTAGTTTTGGGAATAATTAAGAATTCTAATAAAGATATGTAACTTTGCATTATAAGGAAGTTTATATTTTAATTCATTTTATAAAATTTTGAATATTCTTTTGTAACTCAATGAAAATTCCTGAAACTCATTGAAAAAAAGTTTTTTTAAACCCATTGAAAATTTTTCTTCTACTTAAAACTCAAAATAATCTTAGTTTTGGGAATAATTAAGCATGTTGCATTAAAAGGAAGTTTACATTTAAATTCATTTTGAATATTCTTCAGTAATCCTTTGAAAACTCACGAAACTCATTGAAAAAAAATTTAAACTCCTTGAAAAACATTTTCTTCTTCTTAAAACTCAAAATAATATAGTTTTGGGAATAATTAAGAATTCTAATAAAAGATGTAACTTTTAAAAAGAAGTTTACATTTTAATTCATTTTATAAAATTTTGAATTTTTTTCTTCCTTTTCATAAAACTCTTTGAAAAATTTTTTTTTACTCCAAAATCATCTTTTATTCCACATTTAAAAATTAGGGGGTTTTAATGTTTCATGTAAGCACTGCTCATATCCCGTTTGTTAGCAAAAATATGCAAAACACAACCCCATTTGGTGCTCACACAATGTTTTAATGCAATTTCAATACGTTATTGCAATTTCAAAATGGTTAGTTTCTAATAAAATTTGGCATTGTGAAAAAGTAGATCTAAAAAACCAGACCTTAGATGAAATATACATAGTCTAGTATTATAAGAAAGACTTTGAAGTGAAGGATATAAACATTACATGAATCCTCAACTGAAATGGAGATTATTACATATTTTATAATTAATACTCTCATAATAATATAAATTATTTCATGAGTGCCTTTATGCTTTAAAACTCAAGAACGTAATCAATTGATTCAAGCAGCAGGGAATAACTGAGAAGTATTTTCACTTTGCAATAGAAAATTCATACTTAAAAAGAAAACAATTTATAACTTGATTTTATATTAAAAAATACTGAAATCATATCTGCAAACTTTTATGCATTTTGAGTAAAATTTTATTTTTATATTTAAAGTGGTAGTAAAATGTATACTTTCTATATATTCCTTGCATTTATAAACTTAACGTGTAATAATTATGACCACTATTTTTAAAAAAATTAAGTACATATAATAATATGTGATGCAAATGTGGTTGTTTGTTTAAGCTTTTTCAAATTAAGACGTATGTTTATACCTAAATTTATATTTCAATTTCCATTTTACTACCACTGGGAAAAATCCTCCTCCAAAGGATAAAAAGTTGGCAGGTGTGTAAAATCCATAAACGGATTTCATACAAATTCAAAACAGAATTGGCTAAAAGACAAAATGCAAAAATTATGTTTCACATGCATATCACACATACACTGCGATTTTCTTTTTCTTTTTATAAATTTCGTAGCAAAAAATGCACATTTAAAATGGTCAAACAGAATGGAATATATTTGACTGATTAGAGTTCATTTGTTGAAAAAAAAACTTTTGTTTTACATTAAAAAACTAAAATTAAAATGACTTCCTTACCAACCTAATAGAAAAAAAAGATTGGATCTTTGAAATTGAAAACCAAGGTTAATCATGTTAAGTCACATTTAAAAGTAAATCAATATACCAAAATTGCATATAATTGAGTAAAATGCAATGCACGGATTTAAAAATATTCAAAACTGAATTAGTATTCAAAATGAAAAAGGCACGTATTGCATATACATACCAGAATAATTTTAATTTTTTCAAAATTAAAAAAATAATTCCTTAAATCAAAGTTTTATAATTTGCATTTAATATTCAAAACATTATATGGAAATTATTAAACATAAACTAATTTAATATTTTTTTAATTAAAAATTAAATAAATTCAAATTAAAAATAAACATTAAAATAATGCAAAAGAACCAGGAATAGAAGGAAGTAACACATGAAATGATGAAGAAAGAAGAAAAAATTAAGGATTTAAATGGAGGCTATACCACAGCAGAAACCTTTTATGGCAGCTTCTTTCAACCATTATAATTAATTCAAAGTCAAGGAAAAGTGAGTTAAAGTAAACCTAGAATAAACCATCAAGTTTCTGACATTGCAAAAAAAAATTATTAAAAATTCAAAAAAATTATAACAGGATAACTCAGGATTATGCAAGGGAGAGGTAATTGTGCAATAATTTGTTTATATTTTGTTGATATTGCAAAAAAAAAAAAAAAAAAAAAAAAAAAAAAAAAAAAAAAAAAAAAATTAAAAATACAAAAAAAATTATAACAGGATAACTCAAGATTATGTAAGGGAGAAGTAATTGTGCAATAATTTGTTTGCATTTGGATATTTAGAAAACATTTTTTCAGCATTCAAAGCTTTTAGGTTTATTTCAGATCTACCTGAACTCAATTTTTCCGATACTTAACAATGAAGATGAAACAGAACTTGCCTTGAAAAGTTTCTCACATGATATAGCAGAGGTGGCCAACCTGCGGCTCTTTCAAGGATTATTTGTTGCTCTCGATAAATGTACCCGAGTTCCTTTTTAATTTTTGTGCTATTACATTTTAAAAAATTATTATCGTTCTGTATGTGTTTCAAATTGTCTTTTAAATTACTGAGAACAAATATAACAGACTAAGTGCAATGTTGTTCAATTCAAGGTGTTTTCCATTTCCAATATAATTATGACACAAAAAGCACCAGGAGAAATAATTAGTAAAGATGCAAGAAGATCAAGCTCTACAATTAAAATATAAGTCGACGTCGATTACTGAATTTTGGAAATTTGTACCAGAATCGAAGTATCCTGAATTAAAAAAGGCTGATAGAATTATTTAAATTTTTGAAACAACTTATTATGTGAATCATTTTATTCCACTTTAAAATTCGAGAAATCCAAAAAACGATCATTATTAACTAACCAGCATCTCAAAGAATTATCAAGAGAAGTAAAATAAATGTGTTTAATTTTTAGTATTTAAATTCAATACACACATTTTGTACTTATACTCAATAAATATAATTTATGTAAAAAAAATTTTTTTTTAAATACCTTTTTTGCATACCTTTTAAATACGTATTTAATTGCGGCTTGCGAAAAATTTCAAAATTTGAAAAATGGCTCGAGGATCAAGCAGCTTGGCCACCCCTGTGATATAGTGTCCTCCTAAAATAAGCTTAATTAAGTAACACTGCCTATGCAGGCTAAATTTTTGTCAAAAATGCATGCATTCAAATTATTGTTATTTTTTGTTGTTGTTGATAGATTCAGTTCAAGCCGAATTGTGATATACTTCATTATAAAGTTAATAAATAACATAACAAAATATAGTATGAAGTCATGTTTACAGAAGGCAACACTCCATCTCAAATACACATTTATAAAATTTTTTTGTTAAAGACAATACAAGAAAGAGTATAAAACATATTTAACATCACGATTCCATTGACATTCTTATTGCTACTTCCAGCATTTCTTGCTCACTCATTTCTGAAATTAATAATAAAAGAAATTCATAAAGTCAGAAAAACAATTTTAGCAGAAAACAATAAAAATTATAAAAAATTTTAAGATATGTGTGTTAGCAGGACAGCACAAGTTTTTTGCCATAAGATATCCTGCTGCTTCTTACACATCACATTGCAATAAACTAAAAGGCAATATCTGCAGGAACAGTACACAAAGTTTCCTTCTTAAAGATTTTGACACCTTATATAAAAAAATTTAGTACTAGTTAAACTAGTTAATTTAGAACTAGTTAATTTAGTACTAGTATTATTTACAAAAAATACCTATTATATTTTTTACCTTAGCAAACTGTTTCACTATTTTTTATCATTGAAATCAAAATTAAAAAATACAAATAAAACATAAGAAAAATCTATTTATCATTAAACTTGGATCTGAGTTCAAGTTTTGATTTTGTTATAAATTATAAGAGTATAACTTGCACTCCATAGAGCATTAATATGAAATAATTGCAATAGTTATGCCAAAATATGCATAACATATTTCGGTTATTTTAAAAATGAAATTAAGAATTCATTGAATCTTCTTCTCAGTAAATATAATTCATTCAATCTTTTTCCTACCATAAACCTATTACAGTAAACCTATTACTGTATACCAGGGGTTTTCAACCTAAATGAGGCCGGGGGCTACAATTAAAAACACAAATCAAATGGCAGGCCGCAAATTTATCAAAATTTCATGTAGGACTCTTATGTTTGAAGGAACATTAAAAATTACAGTCAGATTTTTACCAAGTAGTACAAAACAAAAGTATTGAATTACAAATTAAAATAAGAAGTAGATTTTTAAAAATATTTAATTGCATATTAAAAAATTCGGGGTACAATAACTTTAATGTGCACCTATGTATTAAACAATTAATGTGCAACAGATATCTAATGGTTAAGATTTAAAACTTTAAAAAAGGTTGGTATTAAAACTTACATAGTAGCACACACAATGTTCAATGAGAAAATTAAGGTTTTTCTGCTGCAACCACCAGAGAATAGATATTTATATTTTAAATTTAAAATTTACAAATGTGAGTGAACATATTTTCGTTCAAAATGAGTGGTTTCAAAAAGTCAAATCGGAGAATTTCTTCGAGAAAATTTCTGATACACACATGATAAATTATATTACCAAAATACAAAAAAAAATGAAATAAATAGAGAGCAACATACAGGATTATTTTTGTATTTGAATAAATATTTTCTTGGATGCAGAACCTAAGAAATAAATTTTTTTGCACCGTTGGTAAGTTCAATTTCACAGAAACAAAGAAATTAGGTTTTTATTAACGAGAAAAGTATTTTAAACCCATACAGATTTTTTACAAAAATTGTCCGCAAAAAAATGACAACTAATATATTTTAGTTTGAGGGCCACAAAANAAAAAAAAAAAAAAAAAAAAAAAAAAAAAAAGCTTCGCGGGCAGCCAGTTGGAAACCACTGCTGTATACTGATTAAAACATTTATATAAAATTTGAGAAACATTACATGGTTAATTCAATGTTTTGAATTTATAAAATCAAACTTCTAAATTTAATTCCTAAGACCATCATGTCATAAGAAAGGGCTTAAAATGGCGTTATTAATCAATTATTGCTGAGCCCATAGGCCTAATCTTGCCCCATCATATTTCTACTCTTTCTCTGAAGCCCCCCCCCCTCCTTGAGATGTGATGTTTCTTCTGAAGAAATAAAACATAACAGACTACGAAGGTAATCCTTAAACAGGGTGTGTAGCCAAATCTTTTAGCAACAAATAAGCACCTTTAAAGTACTTTGACTATATCAGAAAATATTTTAAGCACTATATACATTAAAAAAATTCAAAATAGTTCTCAAAGACTTTACATGATCATGATAAAATAACTAGTTTCAGACAAAGAATTCTTTTCTTGATTATATAAGCAACGACAAAAAGATTAATATTTTTCGGTTCAATTTCAGAGGGTGGACATGCGGACTCCCAAGTATTTCATTAAACATGTAACATGATTCTATCAAACGTTGCAGGCCGACGGTACGCCAAAATGGATTGTGGTTGAATGATACATGAAAACGTTGAATAGAACTAAGTGAGCACCACGCTTTTGCATAATACGCAGCGAAAACCGACACGGTAAAGAAAAATCTCATTTTTGAAAAGGAAAAATTAAGCACTTTTTAAAAACACCTTTAAGGGCTTTTAAAAAAAATAAGCACCTTTAAGCATTTTTTAAAAATGCTACACACCATGTTAAATTGTAGGGAAGCTATTTCAAACAAGGTTTTTTGAAATTAATTTCTCAGCTCGACAAATGCAGAACTGTCTCTGAAAATATCTACGAACATACAAAAAGCTTTGTTTTACTTTACTACCCTCTGATTTTTGAGTAGGACTTTTGTCTGCAACCTCATAAAGTTTGTATTTTGTTAAGATATTGGATGTCTTTGCTTGTAATAAAGCTTTCTTGAATAAAAACATGAAACTAGCTTCAGGAACATCCCAGTGAAAAGCATGCAATACACATGAAGAAAAGATTAAATATGAACAGGCTGAAAGAATTAACATAATACCTGCATCTGGTGTTTGCGGCAAAGTTTCACGCTGTATTTCTCTACTACTACAACTAGGTTGATCTCCTCCTGCTGCTTTCTCATATTCTATTAAAAAGAGATTTTTTTTGTTACAAATATATAAGGTCAATAAACAATACATATATTTATTAGGAACAGACAGTTACAGCCCACCCAGTTTCTAATGAGTTAATGATTTTTTGCCTATGATATAAAGGTGGATGATGCACTGTACTAACCACATTGCCACAAAACACGAAATTCTGAAGTACTCGAAACTTCTCCGGCTACAAAGGACTATTGTGGAAATGCTTTTCCTTACTATGATCCGGTTTAGAAATTTAAAGCAGTGATTTTGATTGTTATTGTAGCAACTTAGGTATTATTGTTAGGTATGTAATATTTTATGACCGAAATTCAATTTAAAGCTGCAGTTTTGCATAGGTGTAATAAAATTCCACACGGATTAAAATTATTGTTTGGAACAATAATTTTAATCCATGCAGAATTTTTAAAAGAACAGGAGATTTTAATATTCAAAAGCAACTAAAATGACCAAACGAAATCTCTTTTTGTAATAAAACTAAAATTTAAAATAAATAAATAAAAAAAAAATTGCAAGTAATTTGGAATTAAAGTTTCTTTTATTAACATGGCAAAAGAACAACACCTACAAACTAGCGAAGGTTTAGGCATTTGTGATATAACATTAAAATGGATTCTGAACCACAGAGACGCAATCAGAGAAAGAGCAACCTGATCAAAGGCAAATTTCTCCCAATACTTGATCCAAGAGTTCCCTTGTCTTCCTGATAAGGTTCAAAATTACAAGGCTACGGAGTTAAACATTAGTAGTCGTAATCCAAAAAATTAAATTGGCAGTCCAACGACGGTTATAACATAAAATAAAACAGTCTTCAGCAGACCACAATGGCTCAGGGGATAGAGCGTTCACCTTCTGAGGTGAAAGGGGTTTGAATACAGGTGAAGGCTGGCCGATACAAATTCCGCATCCGGCTAGCACTGACCACAGTGCAGACGTGAAATATCCTCAGTGGTAGATGGATCATGGGTTGGTTTCAAAATTGCAAGGCTACGGAGTTGAACATTAGTAGTCGTGAACCCAAAAATTGGATTGGCTATTCAACAACGGTTATAAAATAAAGTCTTCAGCTGCCGGGAAAGCCTGGTTGGTAGGGCACTGGGCCCAAGAGGTGGTGGGTTCAATCTCTGCCGGCGAAGACTCAGAGTGTAGTAAATGGTGACTAATGTATGTTAAATATGTCGAGTCACAAAGTTCCCTATGTTCCCTTAACAAATCATACCTCTGGGGGTACTAATCCAGGAGTTTCCCTGCCTTCTGGGTTGGTTCAAAATTACAAGGCTATAGAGTTGAACATTAGTAGTCGTAAACCCTAAATTGGGTCGGGTGTCCAATGTCAATCATATATATGTATGTATGTATATGTATATATATATATATATCAGGGTTTCCGCTACGGTAGCTTTTTTCGCAAAATGCGAAAAGACCCATCAAAAATGCTAAAATTCAACAAAGCATTTTCGCATTTTTGCTAAAGGATTTTACTAAATTCCATTAAAAAAAAGCTTCCGCGAAAAACCATGACGCTAACATCCATGAAAAAAACTTGATCAAACAAGAAGGAGAAAAAATCTAAATATCTTTCGCAAGAAGAACCATGACGCTAGCGTTCACGAAAAAAACGTGATCAAACGAGATGAAGCATAGCGATCAACAAAAATGGCTAGAATATATGATATATATATTTGTTAATGATTAATATTTAGGGCCCTGAAAGTGCATTTAACTTTCAAGAAGCATTTGTAAAATGGGCAAACATGAAAGAAAGGAAGATTGTTAATT